TATCCTGCGTTAAATGTGCTATTCATTAACTAGACATATATTTGTGGCCTGCTACTAACCGTTTGCCTTACAATACAAGAATGCAGCCACAGTCAGTCGCAATTACGACGAAGACGAACTTAAGCTTGGTATGCGAATATACTTGAGGAATGCATCGGATCGCCAGCGCCCCATAACACGAATTTGGGCATCAGAAAAACCGCACTCTGCCGCAAAAGTGGCTGTGCCAATACGGAAACGGTGGCCTTTATACTTCATGGTATCAAGACCACAGCCGCGAAAAAGCATTGATAAAAACTTAGTAAATAAAGCGCGGGGAACGGCGGAACTGACGGTGGCTGCAAACTCGCTCGTAGCCGAGTAGAAGTTATATCTGCCAACTGTGTGGAAGAAGCTGGGCGGGAATCACAGAGGGATAAATCTGCACGCCCGCCGGCGCCAGCTCGCGGAATTTCGAAACCTGTAAACGTGACAAAGCACCAACCAAAGTACTTTTGGCACCTGGAACATGCTTGGCACGAAATAAAATGTTAAATTTCAAGCAAGCTAGAACCAGCCGACGGACAAATATCATCACAATGGGATCCCGTGAAGTAGTTTTATTATGATCTCGACCATAGTATGCGTTGGTTTTGCATGAGATGACCCCATAAGATGACACTGAGGACAATTGGAAAAAAAACCTCCAAAACAACAATGTCGAGTTTTTTCCATTCCTCAGGCCAAGGCCCATAAAACCAAAAGTTGAGAAATATAGCGCCAAAGCCATGACCCGCAGCGGCATTAGTATACAAATTCAATCGTCAGAACGAAAAAACGACCGGCCATCGAAATCATCCAGAAAGGATTTCCTAAATCTGCTTTAAAGGCCCAATTCCACGACGAGCGAAACGCGAAAAACCCCGCGCGAAAAGGTTGAACGCATGCGCAACATGATTTTGGAATGTTTCTCTGAGAAATATTTCTCTTCGCCGGGTAGTTGAAGTCGTTTCTACTCCGTTGCGAAATAGAAATAGCGAAACCAATCTTTTTCTCCAAGTGTGGAAATCGCTACGAGAGAAAATTTTCGCACAAGTGTTTTCGCTCGAAATTTTCCGCACCCCGCCCGCCGCGGAATCAGACCTGAACGGACCTTGTTAGACGAATACGATAAAAAGGGGGGGGGGGGGCATTAACACCTTTCGTTAAATCAATGAGACGCCGCAGAAAAGCCCGACCCGGGGGTACGACAGTACAAGCGAAATTAAGCAGACCAATCAAAGATTGAACCTCTTTCAAGGTTGCCTTTCGACGGCAAAGAAATTCGGAAAGAATACTGCGCGTTTTCAATATTTTGTCAGCTGGTAAACGAGCCTCCATTATATTCGTGTCTAACTCGATGCCAGCAAAAGTCAAAATTGTGGAAGGGCCGACCGTTTTCTCAGGAGCGACTGGCACCCCCAAATACTCGCACAGGGACAAAAAACCCTCAAGGCAGTGCAACATTGTTCGTACGATGCGCCTGCCATTAGGTAGTCATCAAGGATATGAATAAGATGTGGAATGTTACACCGAGTTTTAGCAACCCACTCAAGAGCAGTGCTAAACATTTCGAATGTGCGGCAGGAAGATGCACACCCCATGGGCATGGCTTTATCATAATAATACCCCTGCCACATGATACCTCAACCTCGTACCCAGGATCTTTCTTTGGGAAAGACCCTGGCTGCGGCTGGTCACGTGCTTCATCAAAAATTTAGCGCCTGAGGGGGTGTGGGGAAAGTATCAAATTACATCAACATGCTTCTAGTGGGATATTCGTTAAAAACATAGATTTTGCGAATTATTACGTTCAAAATACTTGCTAATTTTTGTTTATTTTCTTTGCTTTGAATTTACAAGAACATTGTTACATTCTTACTTACAGTCAAGCCAAGAAACCAAGCGAATCGTTACTCGCAGTGCTCTCTCGTGTTGTTATTCAATGCATGCTCTCTTCACACTCGAGAGCGGTTATAACAAACGTTTGTTGTAATGTTTTTAAAATAGGCCATTACATTTGTCCTTTCTTGTAAACGTTGATACGCTTTGCACCGATTCACTTGTTACTACGCGTCTTGGTTATAAGATTTTTAAAAGAAACAGTATTGTCTAGGAGATTAGGACTGCCCAAATATTAGCAAATGTAAACATTTGATAATAGCCGAACAGAGAAATGTCCATAAGCATAGAGGAAATTTCAGTCATTGATTTATCTGGATTTACTACATAAATTCGTATTCGGTAATTATAGTAAGACTTTAGCCTTTTTCTTGGTCTCTATTAATCATTATATTGTGCTAATATACTATAATCTATATCACAAATTTACAGTGTCAGATGCGCACAGACCGTCATTTGGCGTCATACGAATAGACATAAATTTTCGAGTTTTCTAGTAGAAAACTCGACTTCTACTAACATTTTTAAAGTTTTCATTGTGAATCACCTGTTTATCTCTAACTCATTAATCATTTGCTACTTATATTTATTTGATAGTGTCAATGTCATATAGTGAATAATGCGTTTACACACAAGCAATCCTGGATATGATATAAACGATGCAAGCTGTCCATTAAAAAATAACGGTATTCTATTTCACAAAGCAAAAATTTAAATCTCACTTGTATATATTAAGAATGCATATAAAGCAAAAAATAAAAGCTTATTCATGTCAAAACGAAAGCTGTTTACAAAATTTATAAAGGTGGTGAACACTACTAAACAGTGCTCATTGAAAGACATGTATAATATAGTGACATATAATTTGCCGTTTGACTTATCTTTGGTGTATGATTTTAATACCGTAGATTTTCAACAGACAGCTATACTTTGACATATACCATGATCGTTGGATTCAGCAATGCCAACGGCCAATTTTATAGTCTTTTGACGGGCTTTAAGTTTTTTGATAAGGCCTTTATATAGATCAACAATCTGGATACAGTTGGCGATATTTCAGAAATCAAAAGATCTCGCTATTTCGTTGCAATTCCACATCTCATCAATAAATAAATTCTTTTGGTCCGAGTATCAGGATAAACTTTAATACTAAATAAATAACAACCACACTGTTCGGTCTAGAGATATATATTTCCTTGTAGGTTTAATCACAGTTTAATATTGCCACGCTGCACAAGCGGCAAGCGTGCTTTCTTTGGCAAGTCTATAATGAAATCTGATCCAACTTGCTTGAATTGTAACTCGACACCAGATTATAGAGTAGAACGTCACGACATAAATATAATTCAAGAGTTCTCTTTATAATTACGATTTCTTGTTGCAAATTTAACAGTAAATTTCATCACCCAAAGTTGCAATTTTAAGACGCTACAAACACTCTCCTTTCCCACCCCTCTCACAGTTACAATTAAATTTACCTCCCAGAATCTGGGAGGCACGTGACCAGCCGCAGCCAGGGTCTCTCCCAGATGACAGACGGAGAGACCCTGGGAACGAGGTTGAGAGCGAGATAGGGAAAAACCATGTTTTCTGCATTTTGCGTCGTCCTACAGCTTCCGATCGCGTTCTATCACTTTATTTTGGAAAGAACTAACTAGTGTGAAGGTTTTGGATGAAAATTTGTACAATCAGTACAATTTTATACCATGGTTAATACAAATTACGATTCAACCGGGCAAGATTGGGCAGGCCTGCAGTTTCGCGCGGTTTTCGTCTTTAGTTTCTTCCTGTGTATTCCTTCAGTCTTTTACGAGTTTTTCTCAAGTAATATTATATATTTCTAACTATTCCAAAAGCTATTACTGTTTATTTTGTTCTTTCATTGTTATTTCGACCAAAATACAGTATTTTCATCTGAAAATTCTAGGGCTTCTATTCCATCTGGGGTTTTTTTATCGAAAAGAATGCTTGAAAGTCGGCCAGAATCGTGTTCAGTGTATTACTACAAGACAGACGTGGGATGTTATTCGATTTTCCTTCCATAAGTAAGTCTATGAAACACACACACATCACATATTTGTACACTATAAGTCTATAACTTACATCATATAAACAGAATAATAATAGAATAAAAAGAATTTGTTTTGTAAATACTGTAATGACAACGTCACAACAAATGTAGTTTTGAGTTTGGCAGCTACAACATAAAACAATTTACAGTTTTAATAAAAGAATATTAGACCAAAAAAGAACTTCTTGTTTTGATGTCTGTGTTAGGAAAGTCTCTCTCTCTATATATGCATGTTGACAACAACTTTCCTTGTCCTGTTCAAAGTCAAAAATGTTTTAGTTTTGTTCACATCAGTGAACCAAAAATACATCTTTCCCTTTGCACTATTGGATTTCCTATAACCAATCCCAGCCTGCTAAAAAATGAAATGGGCAGACTCAATGCCAATCATTCTTGTGTGAGAAACACTTCACACCGGATGATTATACTTCACACCGATGATTATATTAATCCATGGTGTTGCAAGGTGCCCTACTTTATTATTTTACTCTGTCTAATGCCAGACAATTTTACTCATCAAGAGGAGAGCAGTGGCACTTAATGGGTTAACTGGCCTACCTGCAAATGTGTATAGTTAACCCATTGAGTCGTTTTGTGCCCTACTTAATTATTTTACTCTGGCTATGCCAGACAATTCTACTCGTAAGGGGAGAGTGCTGATGCTTGGGTCAGCTGTCTCAAGGGGAGAGTGTCCGAAGGGAAGAATGCCAACTGCAGAGAGCAATCAATAAAATGCCAATCCAAGAAATATCTAAACGAAGATGCCGTCCCATCTATTTTTGATTATCAATGATGAATCAATCAGGTTTCTTTGAGAGAACTAGATACTAACTGTGAAGGTTTTTGATGCATACCAGACACATTAGGCAGTTTCTTCAAACTAGTTTCCATTGAAAACTTTCGTTGTCACTAGTTCTCTCTACAAACCTGATTGATTCATCACTTTTCACTGTCCAGGCCCTATAGACTTGAGATCCCTTGACATCTGCAGCAGCAAGGAGGTTGTCAAAGTCACACTAAACAGAGCATCAGAATTTTCGCACCAGCAGACCAAATAAATAAAGTAAAATAGGTTTTAACTTCAAAATACTTCACAATATTATTCCCTGTTATATATCCCAACCGAGATCCTCGAGAAAAAAAGCACCCAAAGAACCAAAACCTTTATTTTCTGTAACAAAATGTCTCAAACTGCTCAACTGACTATGTGATGATTTTCAGATAACATTTAGCGATCGATTATTTCGTCTTTATTAAACTTAAATTGTACAAATATTCATCCAAAACCTTCACACCAGTTAGTTCTTGCCAAAATAAAGTGATAGAACGGGATCGGAAGCTGTAGGACGACGCAAAATGCGAAAAACATGTTTTTTCCCTATCTCGCTCTATGATTTTTGCCCGGTTGAGCCGCCATTTTGAATGCTCATGAGTGTCACGCGCGTGCATTATAGAAAACATTAGAGTCAGCAATCTAGGTCTCCTATATCTATGGTCCTGCCTCCTCCGCAGGCCCTCGTTGCGTCATGGGAAGGTCACGATTTCGAGAGGGCCTGCGGAATCTTGTAAAAAAAATGGCGCCGGCGTCACGTCAGCAAGTAAATTTCTACATAATCTTGAATATAAACAGATATAAAAAAGCGGTGTGAAACTTATAAATTAAACTGGCGACTCTTAGGACGTGGAAGGAAGCATTTTTTAACGACAAGGTTTGCTGTCTACACCAATGTTGCACAAATAAAACTGCCTTCTTTAACGAAGCAGGTTCAAAACAACATTTATTCATTTTACAAGATTCCGCAGGCCCTCGCCAGATCGTGACCTTCCCATGACGCAACGAGGGCCTGCGGAGGAGGCAGTCACACGTCGATCAGCGCGCGCGCTCTCGTTGCGCCGCCCTTTTGCCGCCCTATTCCGCCCTATATATAAGCGCCCTGATACCAACCTTAAATATTGCGCTTGTTTTCACGTTGACGATACACGGAGATTTAACGTCATCCAAGTTAGAAAGAAGAGCCTCGCTACTGGGAATATAAACACAATTCCTTCGCTCAGACGCATTATTTATCAAGCTAAAATGACAACGTGACCCATGCAAATATTTAAAAAAGGTGAACTTGGTATAGTAAAACACAAGTCATAATGATGATCGCAACAATACAGGAATAACATGCTGTTTCTTAAACTTTCTTTTCACAAAGTATCGCAGCCCACCCGATTAGCGCGTTTGACGCCGGCTGACAGTCGGAAATTTTGTCTCCGATTGCTCGGCTGCCAGCCGGGCTGTACTATAGTATACTATTCGTTCAAAAAATGCGCGCATTTCGGAGACTGGTTCTAGAATGTTTCATAAGCAGAAAACCACCAAAATTACATTAAATTTTCCGAAAATCATCGAAATGCATCTAAATTCATCTTGCCAATGCATATAGTTAGCTATGCGACAGGTAAATAAACGAGAAAAAAACCAATTTCGGCAAAAAGAAAAATTCAAATTCGTTTGCGCGCACTCCGGACTTGAACTCACGACCCTCAGCATACACGCCGAGTGTTGTCCCCTTGCGCTACCACGTCTTACACGGAAAATATGTTAATTAATTGTATATATACAAGTTATTCTTAGCCAGCGCGATTTATGATTGCGTAAATACGTACACCTCGTACATGGCCAAGGGTACAGTAGCAGCCGAGCCGTATCTACACTTTAATACAATACTTACAATACATTACGACATAGATCACGGCTTCCAGCCGGGGTTATTTAACTGTAATACAATACTACAATGCAATACGAGTGTCAGCCGAGCCTGCCGGTAGTATACTATAGTATACTACAATACATCACGGCTACCAGCCGGCAATACGGCTATCAGCCGGGCGTGTCTGTAGTATACTATACTAATCTATAGTGTACTGTAGTATACTACGATAGTATACTATAGTGTACTGTAGTATACTACTGTACCTGTAGTATACTATACTATAGTGTACTGTAGTATCGCGGGTACCAGCCGGCAATACGGCTATCAGCCGGGCGTGTCTGTAGTATACTATAGTATACTACAGACACGCCCGGCTGATAGCCGTATTGCCGGCTGGTAGTCGCAATGTATTGTAGTATACTATAGTATACTACCGACAGGCTCGGCTGACACTCGTATTGCATTGTAGTATTTTATTACAGTTAAATAACCCCGGCTGGTAGCCGTGATCTATGCTGTGATGTATTGTAAGTATTGTATTAAAGAGTAGATACGGCTCGGCTGCTACTGTACCCTTGACCGTGTACAATGGTGTACGTATTTACGCAATCATAAATCGCGCTGGCTAAGAATAACTTGTATATATACAATTAATTAACATATTTTCCGTGTAAGACGTGGTAGCGCAAGGGGACAACACTCGGCGTGTATGCTGAGGGTCGTGAGTCCAAGTCCGGAGTGCGCGCAAACGAATTTGAATTTTTCTTTTTGCCGAAATTGTTTTTTTTTCTCGTTTGTTTGCCTGTCGCATAGCTAGCTATATGCATTGGCAAGATGAATTTAGATGCATTTCGATGATTTTCGGAAAATTTAATGTAATTTTGGTGGTTTTCTGCTTATGAAACATTCTAGAACCAGTCTCCGAAATGCGCGCATTTTTTGAACGAATAGTATACTATAGTACAGCCCGGCTGGCAGCCGAGCAATCGGAGACAAAATTTCCGGCTGTCAGCCGGCGTCAAACGCGCTAATCGGGTGCGCAGCCTGACACTCTTGTCGTTCGAAAGCTTCCATATTGGTTTAGTCAGATTAGGCGCTCGATACCCATGATGCTTTGCGGCCTGCTGTCCAACCTCCTGAGGCTATAAATGCTTGGAGGCTTTCTGGCTTGGAAGGTATGCCGTCAGTGTAAAATCACAATAACTGCATTCAGTGTATTCAATAAAATAACAATCTACTGCATTCCACCGTTGCACTCCACGATAATAGACCGAAAATTGTGTTCTAAATAATTTAATGCTGATGTATTATCTCCTGAGGAATTTTATATCTGGTACAAATAGAAATGTTGCAAATGTGGCAAAGTGGCATATTAATGTCTTGTCCAAACGGTCAGTATATAAGTTGCAATGAACAGTAAACGATTACGATTTTATATATGCAGTGTATGTGTACAGTTTTATAATAATGAAAAGAATGTAATCATTACTCAATAGACCCGGAGGTGAGAGGATCGACTCAGAGGTTCGAGCTGTTGGAGCTCCTGTACGGGCTGTACCTAAATGTATTCGGAGGATAATATAGTAACTGCAGGGCAAGTCCCCTAGAAATATTGTCTGCACTCATATGCCACAGTTCCCTGGTTCCAGAGACTCTTTGCGAGGGCGAAAGAAACGAGAGGCGAGAACGGAAAGCCTCTGGGCACATCGATTGCAAATCCCACTTCCACACTTGATTTAACCTGCGATCAGGCTCTATTTTACAAATAATAGCCTGACACAATCCTTAATCCGATCGCTTTCCACCCACAGCAAAGTTTTTATTTAGTATCCAATCAAAATGTCGCAGGAGAAATTTAAATTTCACACAACGACAACAACAATCTAATTATAGTTGTGATCACTATAAATATATCAACGACAATATATAATGTAATTAGCACCAACCAATCAAATGACAGATTAAAAAATCTTTTGTCTCATAAACCAATCTGATTTACAATTGAAATACGGTTGTAAAAACATGGACTTTTGTTAAGATTTGTATCAGGCCTATTTATTTATTTATAGGCCTGATCGCAGGTTACACTTGATGAGGTTCAGAATTTGAATCTCACATGTGATTGGCCATTTGTAAAAATATGTCAAACCGGTTTGGGAAATAAACATTACTGTAAGCTAATTATAGCTATAATTATAGCGATATGACCAGAGGTTCTCCGTTCCCGCCTCTTGTTTCTTTCGCCTCGCAAAGAGCCTCTGGAACCAGGGTAATGCCACAGCCAGTGAGCTCTATATATATCTGGAGTAAGAACCTCAGTCATCGGTCACTGAGGAAAGTGAAGCCATGTGAAGCCAAGATGGCGGCCATTGACGTCCAATAGCTCTGAAGGTCGTAAACAGTTTTTATACCATTTTCCCCAGCTAATTCCAGTTTTTTCTAATGGACCATATCACTAATCAAGTTTTCAGTTCATAAAATCACAATATTATTCTTTAAATCGAAGTCAAAATACAAAATTTCAACACACTCCTTGCCAAGATGGCAGAAATTGAAGGAGCTGTTGGAAATTGAAGGAGCTGTTGGACGTCAGTTCCAGTCCCTTTCTATTGTTTTTGTATGCGCGGTTAACACGAAACTGGCTTCACTTTGAGCAACCAAGTTCCTACTCCAGATATATATGGAGCTCACTGGCCACAGCCATCCCTCTCCCCAAAATATGAAATACTGTGACGTCAGAAATGTTGAAATATGAAATACTGTGACGTCATGAAATTTTTTTAAATAATACCCCATCAAGCTGCAGTGTGCCCAAATGGACCCTTCTTTCTTAATTATTTTACTCTGTCTAATGCCAGATGATTTGGAGATTTGTGTGCTCTAATGGGTTAAAGATGATTTCCACTCTGTACTGTGCATCAGTTCTGCTCATAACAAAGGGGGATCGACCCCAGATATAAACATTGCCCAAATTCTGCATCTTTCAAACTTTTTTGAATTGAAACATAGAGTTTAATATATTCATTTACAAGCGTAGCGAACCAGAAAAGTGTTAGATATTCAGTTGGTATATCATATTTTACAAATATATAGCAGTTCAAAATCTAAACAAAGTTTGTGCATGTATGCGCACAGGAGTGGGCATCGACATCTTTAACCAAACCAGGGATGGATCCAAGATGATCTGGTAGGAGAGGTGCTCTGCCAGCTCTGGTGCCAAGTTGTGTCCAAGTCTTGCTTGAAATAAATCCATCCCTTAAATCCATCCCTGAACCAAACAGTCTGCCAATGTGTCTTACCAACCCTCTCCTTTTCAGTAATTACCCCCCCCCCATTATTACAAAAAAATTTCATGCACCCATTTTTCTTTTTTTGAGATGGTTTAACTCGCCCCCTGTCCTTAGGGAAGGGCCAGTTCAAACTATGCGCCAGATGATTGTACTCATCAAGGGGAGAGTCTTTGATTATCAATGCTATAATGGGTTAAAGCTCATTTCACAAATATATGATTTGGTTGAACTGTAACAGACTGTATCTGGTTGAAAAATGTTTTTTATTCTGTGAACCTTAGTTTATAAAAGTGTTCAACCATGTGTTGAACAGGGGCCTGGTGCTACACAGGTAACCCTAAAAGGTAATTATCTATTAACTATCTTAGGCACTCTGACACTGAAAGGTATAATTACAACATTTCATTCTGCTGTCGCAAATGTTTTCTCAACTAATCTTATTCAATAACTAGTGATTTTTACACTGAACATGAAGCCAACGACAGTACAAAGCTTAACATTTTGGCTTCAAATGAGTCTTAACATATGGCTGTAAATGCCTCAGCAGGAATGTTGTTTTGAGAATAGCCTTCACATATATAGAAATATGCAGGGAAGCATGAAGCGACGCTACCTCTGTAGTCTGAATTAAAGAGATCTGGAATCTGTATTACATTATTGCTAATTGCACAAATCATGTGATTAAAGCAGTGGAATTGGGTATTCAAACCTGGAGCTACTGCCTAACAGTTAAAAAATCGTTGACTACTTCCACAAAAATATAACCTATAGGCATGCATGGTCAAGTCTGGCATGGCCGTTCTTTTAATAAGTAGTAGTCTTCACTCCAGTCTGCAGTGGGGGGAGTGGCCTATTTTGGGATCCCTGTCAGAGAGACATGACTGTCCTGAATATCATGCCTGACTGGTGTGGCCTGAGGCTGAGTATACGAATCTCTGATTATGGAACTGCTTGTAAAAGAAGTGGCTTAAATATGTCAGATCTAATCTGTATACAATGAAGATTTTATATATAAGTTCAATTTTGTCATTCTAACTTCGAAAGTTGGTGAATATGAAACTTGTGTTACTCAAATTTCTTTTTTTAATTTTGGCTTCAATTCTGTGTCAGAGTTCATGAAGTTCAGGAAAATAGCTTATTATGCATGTTTTCCAAGCCCCAGTAGTGGGGGCTGAAATGTAATGAAAATGTGTTATAATTCTAAGTACTAATCCTACAACGCAAATTGTTGCTCTTATTAATAACTTCTTAACGACTTAAGGGTTAATTTCATACACATTTTATGTCGTGTTCGAATTTATATGGTAAATGTGCATGGAATTGGCTCAAACATCGTAACATATTTTTCACTTCAGCTTTTATTGTGCAGTCCAACCATTAACAAGCCACAGTCCATCAGACAAACTGAGTTACTTCTATGGTTTACCTGCCAAACCATTTCTGGGTTCAACAATTGGGCAAGTGGTAGACAGCACAGCTGAGAAATACCCAGATCGTGAAGCGTACGTATTTTGTGAAAGTGGTAGGAGAGCCACATTTGCGGAGCTCAAAATCAAGGTAAACTTGGACCCACACTTGTGTATGATGTATGTGGATATATTAGAACTTAACGTTTTTTTATCAAAATTACTTTGTATTGTTCTCAGCAAATAAGAATTGAGAAGTTTTGCCATGAATATTCAAATACTGTATTGATGACGTATGCACCGCATTTGCCCAAATATTCAAAACAATATATTAATTATTAGATACAGACAATGCAAATCCCTAAATGTATTAGAAAATGACATTGTTGCTTCAGTTTTTTTGGTTTCTACAAAATTTTAACTTTTTTCTACAAGTTCAGGCCACTGAAACGTGTACCTGCATGTAAAATAACTGATGTCAGATTTTCGTTGACACGTAATTTGGGATGGGATAAAAACGAAAAGTCGAAGCATACAACAGTAAATAAGGAAGCAAGGCCCAGTGCTGGAAAATGTCCGGCAGCGCCAGCAGCACCGCTGCCAGGAAATTTGTAACAAAATATCTTCGCAGGAAATTTTTTTGCACTTTGTAGAAAATTTTTGTCATCTTGCATACAGGAATGCCATATAATTTACCTATTGTTTGAAAATTCCAAATTAAGCATTTTGCAAGTCGAGATGTGCAGCATCAGAGTCCACACGTTCTCTGAAATTTACATTTTATAGTTGACTTACACAGGAATTTTTGATTTTTGAATTTTGCTGCCAGGAAGATAAATATGTTTTCCAGGCCTGGCAAGGCCAAGAAGCGATAAAACTAGCCCATGCATTCTTTTGATGTTTTTTTTTTACTATATTCTTAGGCAGATAAACTTGCGACGGGATTCCTAGCTCTTGGTCTCAAGAAAGGTGATCGAGTTGGTATTTGGGGTCCGAATGTTGAGGAATGGATTTTGACACAATTTGCCACGGCGAAAGCTGGATTAATTCTGGTACGCCTAGAATAGTTTTTTTTTCAATAGAAATATAATATCTGTGGATTCGTATACGGGTCATGGACAACCTGGAAAGCCATGGAATTTCAAAATTCATGCCTGGACATTCTGGAAGTCATGGGAAATTGAAATGTTACATTATTTAAAGTGCTTATGAAACGAAATTTTCACCTCATTTTTTATTGTTTTGCTAAAAAGTACTGCTAGAGCGATGAGGAATGACGTTTCCAGTTTCTTCATATCTCATCTCATTCTCAAGTTATCGCACTTTCTAAATTTTGAGTTGTGACGTCACTAGTTTGACTTGAGATAATGGCAATAACAAGAAAGTCTGATATCTTAGTGAGTATTTAATAAAATTCAATGAAACTCGGTACAGTTAGTGGGTGCGCCAATATGAATATTTTTAGTAGGTCACATGGTTGTCATGGCAACACACTAGTCCCCAGTCTCTTCTCTTCCTTTTCACAAATTTCCTCCTGTAGACCTCTTGCAAAGGATGTTTGCGTGTTATAACAGTTTAAACTGATCACAATGCCTACACGTATTATAGTAATAAGCGACAATTGCAGAAATTACTATTTATTTCGTTGGAAATTGATCATACAGAAATTGGAAGAGAAGGAACTTGGGACGAGTGTGTTGCCATAACAACCATATAAACAAGCCAAATTGTTCACTTCGTTGCACCCACTAAGTGTGCCGAGTTTCATTGAATTTTATTAAATGATCGTCAAGATATCAGATTTTCTTGTTATTGCCACTATTTTGAGTCAAACTAGTGACGTCACAACTCAAAATATAGAAAGTGCGATAACTTGGGAATGAGATGAGATACGAACAAACTGTAAACGTCATTCTTCATCATTTAAGCAGTACCTTTTAATAAGACAATAAAAAATGAGGCAAAAATTTCGTTTCATAAGCACTTTAACAAAAGTTGTACATATTTCCCATCTATAATAGTCGTGAAAAAACATGAATTGTGGCAAGTATTTTTGCGAGAAAATTGTGAATAGTAAAAGTTTGACCGTCTTTTCAATGGATATTTGGCCTTTATTTACCAAGACAATATTTTAGAAATCATGCAGGTCATGGAATTTTAAAAAATGGTCACGTGGAAATCATGGAATCGAAAGAGGTGTACGAACCGTGTATTATGAACTAAAGTTACTAAATCAAGTCGTACGTTTTTCATGGCATATATATATATATATATATATATATATATATATATATATATATATATATATATATATATATATATATATATATATATATATATATATATACATTTTGTTGCTGTTATATATTTCTTTCTTTAGGTTAACATTAATCCAGCTTATCGAGTCGCTGAAGCTCATTATGCACTGAAAAAGGTACTGCAGACTCGTGTAAATCCCAAATATCTCAAATAGAGCAAAGAAACTTAAACGAAAAGCATTCGGATTTATTATTTTGAGACCTGAGATGCTTGGCTTGCAAGCGGTTCAAAAAAATAACGACGTTTGTGTTCACACGGATTCACCAAGATCTCCTTTTCATCACGCTCCGTTTAGAAACCGTTTTGCTCTGGCGTAGTGTGAACGCGACGGCTAATTGTGGCTTTTCTGCGCCGTTTTCAAACTGCTCCAGCAGTGTGATCGTATAGTCTTAGGCAATCACTGAATAAGATTGACCCAAGAATACTTTCAGTTTCTAGTTATTATGCTATCCAGAGCTAGTTTACACTGGTATTTGTGAGCACGTGGAACCTATGCACAGATGCCCCAGGAACAAAACAATTTTAACTACAGGAGAGAGAGAGCCTGGGAATAGGCTAGTGTTATATATAGTAGGTTCTCCACAAACACTAGCCTGCTTGTGCATGCGATCTGAACCAAACCCATTTCTTTCCCTATTTACTTAATTAACGTATGTATGCAGGTCGGTTGCAAAGCACTAGTATCTGCCGTAAGTCACAAGACGTCAGATTACTATGGAATGTTATGTGAAATCGCCCCAGAGTTACAGGATTCAAGACCAGGATGGCTTCACAGCGATCAGTACGTTAAACCTTTACTTGATTCGTAAATACGTTAGATTTTCTTTAATTGTTTGCATTTCTAACCTCATCCCACATGCTGAAAATCTCTTTGTCCTTTGAATCCCTGGGGGTTGGTTGCACACACCCCAAGTTATATTACAACTACGGGTTCAATCATTCCCGAGCCAACGGCGCGAAGCGAGGGTACTATATAATTCCTCTCGGCTATTTACACCCGGGAAAAGGAAAGGATTAGCGAAGTCTAAAGTTCATCAATACTAAAATAAGATTAATAACCTTTAATCACCTTTACGTTTTTCCAATGACTCAAGACATTCATGTGAGGAAAGTCATTCAACGCTCTACTGAAAGTCGCGGGTTTTCTCCAGGCAGTTTCCTCCCACAGTGAATGTTGATAATGCTGGGTTTGGTGGATTATCCAAATGAGCATATACATGTATATAGTATACACAATTTAACCTAGCCAACCGACCCTTCCACCGTAGCTGTGTTGGGTGATCAGAAATGAGTCATAAGGTGGCAGTCAGAGGCACCTTTAGATAGCCTTCTACTCGATCAGGTTGAGATATTGCGTCCTTGGCTCTTAGTTGCAAGTAAGGATGAATAGCGCACACCCACATACTGTACGTACTTCCTCATTTTGGTGTAGTGAAGAAAAATACTTTTTGGAGCATAACTTACATGCACATCTCAAAAATGCATTCAATCATTAATTATTCCTATTAGCACATTGCCTCCAAATCAAGGAAAATTTTGTCGGTTCAAACCATAGATATCTTATATACACTAGATAGCGCATCTCTTTTAGTAAAATTGAAGCCAAGAATATTCCAGCGGTTACCCCCATTTGAATAGATGGCGGCCATGTTGGTAGTTCCCACTCGCTATTAAACGCTTAAAAAACAACAATAACTTTCATCATTTGAATAGTTTAAAAATGTATTTGGAATAGGTTTAACTTAATGTTTAAGTTCCCTAGCTGTTTAAGAAATAGGAAGCATACGAATCTTCTCATTTCATGGGAATATCCTGAGATTGCAATCACGGCTTCAATTTTTGAATTGCAGAATAATTAGATGCACTATCTAGTGTATGTAAGATATCTATGGTTCATTAACAACTGCTCGGGAAGAGATGAAGTATTTATTATCATTATTTTGTTTTTAGTGTACCAATGCTTCAACACGTAATTATGATCGGAGACGACAAACATCGGTATGGTATATATCAGCGATAGTTCATTAGATAAAAGATGTTGATTTGGCATTTTATATCGTATGCGCTTTAAAACGGCAGACTATACGAAAGTTCAAAGCCATCTGCATGTTACCAATCATTGATATCGTACTAACCTTGATTAGTTTGAAATTCTCGTGTAATTGATTGTTGATATCAAATCAAAGGGTTATCTACTGAGTTCTTCATTATTTTTTCTCAGGGGTACACTTTCCTTTCACGAAGTGATGTATGCTGGTGGACATAGCGAAATGGAAGAATTAAACGCTCTTCAGCAACGTCTACAATTTGATGACCCAATTAATATACAATTTACTTCTGTACGTAGATTTTTGTATGATTTATGCAATGTCGTAAATCCATCTTTCAGGCTCGGGATATAGCTGAAAATCGGGTCTAAAATGAAACCATTTCGGCAAATTTAGGCTTTCATGATCAATAAAATGTGTTTCTAGTAATTAATATAAGGGTATTTTATACGCGAGATACGTTGTCGACCTGAATAGGCGTTTCCCAAGATAGCTCCACAACCTCGCTCCACGCCTTCTTCGCGCGATTTTGGTAAGGGCATTTTCCAAATTGTGTTAATACATGCCCGAAATATGTGCTCGGACCAAACGTCTGTGTATCGACTGCGGTCAAACGTCTGTGTATCGACTGCTCGTATTCGAAAGGCTGGAAATAGTATTGTCTTCATGAAATTCTAGCAGAAAGTGTGAAAAAATTACAAGAGCTTAGCCTTAGTACAATTTTTTATTGTCACTAGAAAAGAGCTATGAAATTCATGAGCTTATACCTTTAGCCGTTTTCATATAGTAAATGGTTTTCTTTTCCCGTGTTTACTTCCATTATTTTGACAGACCCCGCCAGTTTTGTAGACTCGCGCATACGCTTGACGTTTGGCCACGCGGTGTTGCTCGAACCGGCTTTGTTTTGCTTACAGGCATCGATGAGTAGCAGCCGGTTTTATGACCATGCCAAGGTTGTGGCGGGCTATATTGGGAAATATTCCGAAGCCTGGTCATTATAGCCTTGAGCTTTTTGACCGTACCGTCCTCTGTTTATTCGGTTTCGTATGTGGTGGTTATGGAGTTTCTAGTGTCGCAGACATACACACGCAGCGAAATGCTTGTAATTTTGCACAGTATTCTTAATTTTCCGTCCACTTTTTCCTCTTTAATCTAGGGCACAACTGGTAATCCTAAAGGTGCTACATTGAGTCATCACAACATTCTCAACAATGCTAATCAAGTGGGCTCAACGATAAAATACGCAGAAGAGGTAGAGTGCATGCAGTTAAAATAAGTACAGATAATTATAAAAAATGATTAGCAGGGTTCTGAGCTGCAGCGCACATGCACTGCGCAGTGCCGCTCGGCACTCACGCTAAAGCTGGCTCTTCCACTCGGCACTTCAAAGGTTGCAAATATGTTGCATTATATTTTGTTGGAAAATATTTTGTAATAGTCACCAAAATTATTGTCTGGTGTATACACACATGCATGTGTGTGTGTGTGTGTGGGGGGGGGGGAATGGGTGAGGTGGGATGGAGGAGAGGCATGCCATTTGCCTGTTTAAACAAAGAAGAACTATCCAAATTATTGTCGGAAAGAGACAGTATGGCCATGAGCACCGAGAAAATCACGAAGTAATGCAAAAACAGTGGCCGGTGCCTAAATTACTTTGAATTTGTACTCGAGTAAAAGTAGAAGTAATTAACAATAAAACGACTTGAGTAAGAGTAAAAAGTACTGGAGGCAAAGCGTACTTAAGTAAAAAGTACAAAGTATCCTTAAAAAATACTTGAAGTACAAAGTAAAAGTATACCATTGTCTATAGCGTGTAGGGGGGGGGGGGACTTCTCCAATGGATTGACATGCAAAAGACACAAAACAGCACACGCATTATATGCGTGCGCCATAATATATAATATTTCACGGCATGGTCTACTTTCCAGACCCCGTTGAAGATATAAGAAATCCATTAATCGGGAATAAATCACGTAAAATTAAACAAATGTGAGAAAGTAACGAAATACTTCGCCACAAAATGAAAATAACGAAGTAAAACGTTACTTCTTAAAACGACTTCGTTCCAAGTAAAAGTACTCCAGAAAAAGTTTACTTTGTTACATGCTGACTTCTCAAAAATAGTACTCAAGTACAGTAACGAAGTACATTTACTTCGTTACTTGACACGACTGTGCAAAAATATCTTCGACTGGTATAAATTTCTCATTTCATATTGAACGTTTACTGTGCAATGTGCGAATAGGAGTATTTCTTAGTCTCATCATTATATCAAAATAAGAAAATTTATGCTGTTTATTTAATCTATTTTAAAGCTTACGAAAATTTGCATTACTGTTCCACTGTATCACTGTTTTGGAATGGTTCTTGGCAGGTTATATATGTTTTTTCATTGTGTCTGATTTTGGAATTTGGTATAGTGTGTTCTTGATCTTTCTTATATTCTCTTTCTTTCAATAGTTTATCATCGATAATCTTCGGAGCAACGGCAGTTTATCCCTCAGCTGGCTTTGATGCTCGGGCTGCACTTGCTGCTTGCCAAAATGAAAAGTAAGTGAAGACAAATGTTAAAATAGTTCGTATGATGCATACCCCCGGTGTGGTGGTCCTGCAGGCTGGCTCATCTGATAGAGGTTGTCCAGAGTTGTTGCTTGATGTTTCATTGAAGTTTGTGTGCATTGTATAGAACTGTCAAAACACCCTGCCCCTGGTTAAAAATGTCCTGGTTAATCTAAAATTAACACTGCTTGGGGTGACTTAGGCCTGTTTTATACGTCGAATTTCGGTCGCTTCGAATGCAATTCAAACAATAGATAATGAAGCTTAATGAGGTTTATCATCTCATTATCTATTGTCTTAATTGCATTCAACGCGACCAAAATTCGTCGTATAAAACAGGCCTAAATGTTCCTGGTTACATTTCATGATTAATGTATAAGTGGAATATTAACTGGTTAAATTAACCAGGATTCCTGTTTAAAGCAGCCAGGACTATGATCAAATTAACCAGAACTCTGGTTAAATTAGTAATTTAGTATATAGGTAATAGCATGGGGCCGAGTAAAATTAAGGTTTAATTTCACGTGTGTTTTCAACGTTTCACAAATTTGTGAAACTTTGAAAACAAAGTGAAATTAATCCTTAATTTTACGAGGCACTACTGCGATTACTTGTTAATCATATACTGTAGAGGGTAGACCTTTCCGGTAATTACGTGACGACTAACACTGTTTTCAACATAGGACCACCTTAAATGGAATAGATTTCAAGTTTGTTTCTCCGGGGCTATGGTCAGAGAAGCAGAACATCCTTCGTCAACACATGCATAAAAAAGAATTTTGGATTTTGAGCCATGGCCCCTCTGCCTCGTTTTCGTGTTTTAGCTTATTTTCACATTTATTGGTCAAAATCCAAAATTATTTTTTATGCATGTGTTGAAGATGTTCTGCTTCTCTGACCATAGCTCATGAGAAACAAACTTGAAATCTATTCCATTTAAGGTGGTCCTAAGTCGAAAACAGTGTAGTTGTGACGTAATTACCGGAAAGGTCTATTGTGAACTTGTCAAGTTCTTGAACCTCGTATGTCTCCATGTCTTGGCCGATTTCCTTAATTAATGCTGCCCATTTCTTAAATACTCCAACCCATAAATTTGTACTTTTTCTACTAGAAGTTTTTAATTCTTCAATAACATTATTATCCGCAACGTCAAAGCGAGAAGCCATTGCAACTCAGTTGTATTGCTATTTAAAACCACATGCATCTCAGCCAATCATGCATGTACAAGTAATTTTGCCCTGAATTAAGAAAAAAATGCCCTCGTCATTAGCCAATCATATTCGAGTAATTTTGCCCTCTATATGATTAACCAGGAAATTTAACCAGAAACAGGAAATGTTTAACTAGGGTATTTTTAGAGTGTTTTAGCAAATTGTTCTAAACATGACTTTAATTGTTTAGATGTACATCACTTTATGGCACGCCTACTATGTTTATTGATATGTTAAATCACGAGGATCTACCTAAATTTGATCTCACGTCTCTACGTACAGGTACGCTGAAAACCTGAAATGAATGTGACCAATTCTTTCCAGTAAAAATTATTCCTGGCATGGTGCTAAAATAAGTAAATTGTTGTGGTATTCAATAATATAGTAGCATAATATTAATAGCTTGACATATTTGAAATTAGTTTTTCATATCTCTGGTAGAATTGAAACACTGCGCGTCCTCCAAGACAAGCGTTAAGTCACCGGGAAATATTCCGTGCACTTAAATTGGATAAGACTCGCTACCAATCCCCGTTAACTCGATAGCTCAATGGGTAGAGCGGCGGTCTAGAAACCCGAAGATGCGAGTTCGAATCCCGCTCGAGACAACGAATATTTCGTTGTAATCTGTTGTGTCAGAATAATATGAAACTAATCTTGAACTGTCTTTGCCAGTGTAGCAGCCAATCAAATGAACAAGCTTTCGTTGCTAGGGATGCAACTGACTGAAAAATTAAGGAGAATTTCGACGTTTCGAGCGAAGGCCCTTCGTCTGGAGTTACTAGTAACACTAATAACACTAATAACACTAATAACACTAATAACACCAATAACACCAATAACACCAGTAACACCAGTAACACCAATAACACCAATAACACCAATAACACCAATAACACCAGTAACACCAGTAACACCAGTAACACGAGTAACACGAGTAACACGAGTAACACTAGTAACACTAGTAACACTAGTAACACTAATAACACTAATAACACTAATAACACTACTAACACTAGTAACACGAGTAACACGAGTAACACGAGTAACACGAGTAACACTAATAACACTAATAACACTAATAACACTAATAACACTAATAACACTACTAACACTACTAACACTACTAACACTAATAACACTAATAACACTAATAACACTAATAACACTAGTAACACTAATAACACTAATAACACTAGTAACACTAGTAACACTAGTAACACTAATAACACTAATAACACTAATAACACTAATAACTAGTTCGTCCAGACGAAGGGCCTTCGCTCGAAACGTCGAAATTCTCCTTATATTTTTCAGTCAGTTGCATCCCTACGAACGAAAGCTTGTTAAATTAATATGAAACTAGGCTTTCTATGTTCTCCGAACGTTTTCATCAGTTCGTCATTTCATGATCATGTATAAAAACTATTATCTAATTTTTAAAATTTGTACGTACTGTACCGTACTTTACTGTACTGTACTGTACTATTTTACGTTGTCTTTAGTACTGATGTCCACAAACTTATCATTCCAGTCTTTAAATGTTTGAACATACTCATTTCAGGTGTTATGGCTGGTTCCCAGTGCCATGTTGAAGTGATGAACGCGGTTATTGAAAAGATGCATTTACCTGAAATGACGGTACACTATCGAACATCTAGTTCTCCGAGTTTCAAATTTATAGTATTTAAGCTCATGACAAGCTAACACAGATTTTCTATCTCAAGCTTTTGTCCTTATATAAAGTTGCAGATGTTTTGTGTAAACGAACCAAATCACGTGCATAAGTGATATACATACATATATGAACTATAATGAAATACTGTACGAACTAAAGCCCATCTTGGCAATGTGATTGGTCAGCGAAAAAATTCGCCACGAAAAAGCTGGATTCCTACTTTTTTAGTTCCTACTTTTTTACTGTTCGCGCGAACAAATTCGCCTAGTGGAAAATGGACTTAAGTGAAATAGTTTTGCGAGACATCAACAAGCAAAGCATCCAAGTTATTAATTAAAGAAATATACATTCTCATTTCTTATTGCAGATTGCCTATGGTTTGACAGAACTCTCACCTGTCTGCTGTCAAACTCAAGTTGACGATCCGGTTGATCTTAGAGTGTCAACTATAGGGAAAATGGTTTCGAGTACTGAGGTAGGAACTGGAGAGTGGATACTCGCGGAATAACTATAGAATCCCCCGCCAACAGAAATCTGTTGTAAAGAAGGTCCATACGCCTACGTGCCTACACGACCTTACACGATACGCGCCTGCTGTGCGGGCCTACGTATATCTACATGCCTACAGGCCTACATGCCTACGGTGACTACATGCCTACGGGCCTACAGGCCTATGTGCATAGATGCCAGCCGATCCGCACGTTGTAACCCTAACCCCAACCCTAACCCTAAGTATAATCATGATCCTTCAACTCAAACTAGTCAAAGTGTGTAACATGAATTTAGTATACTCTATTTCAAGTGTCAATTATTTAGTTAATTTTACGTTCACATTCAAGTTTGTTCTATATTATATGTACGAGAAGTTGGTTAATAAAAAATAGTAAAATCCAATGGAATATAGAAAAAACTGTCTCAATATAACGAGACCTATATTGACGTATTGTTGCAGTAAGATATGAATGCCTAGGCACTTTGCTAAACCCACGAGATCACGTAGACCTTATGTTCTCAACAACCCCGCGTAGGTGCGTAGGCAGTCTAGGCAGACTGTTCAATACTTAACCTTGTGGGGTATTCTATAGTTGTACCATACTCGCTAACCAAGAGGAGAGACCTAAAATCAATTTCAGTGAAATGGTATCATGGAGTTTGCATGATGACGTCATGTATGTACGGTATAAATCAATATGAACAGGGACTGTATCCATGACTCCATCAGAGGGGTACAGATGTAATAACAAGGAAAGCTCCGACCCCAGGTTTCATAGACGTTAAACAGCCACTTGCCTGTGTCTTTCCAGGGTAAGATAGTGAATGAACATGGTGAGATAATCCCTGTAGGTGAAGGTGGTGAACTGTGTGTGCGTGGTTTTGGTGTCATGTTAGGGTATTGGGAGGATGAAGAGAAAACAAAAAGTACGATAGATGCCAGTGGGTGGTTATACACAGGGTAAACATAAATATTTGTTTTGTTTTTGTTGTTAGTTAATTGCGAAGTCAAAAAGATTACGAAACAAAAACGAAGGTCATATTTTTAATTTCGTGTCCAATTTGAATTTGAGTCATCTGTATGCATGCATGTTTATGGATTGAATTGAGAAAGGCGGCATTTTGAATTGGTACAAGTACGGTATATTATGATATTCTAATTTGCTTATGATCTGACACGTGTTTTTACATGTACAGAGACAAGGCATCAATGGATGAAAACGGATATGTGAAAATTATTGGCAGAATAAAGGTACTTCTCTTCATAACGTTTTCAAACCATGTAGATTTTTATGTAATGTACTTTAACCTTGTCTGCACTGCAGATAGTTTTAAATCGTAATTTGCGACTGATGTTGATTTGTCAGTAGCTCAATGAGAGGAGTGGTGGTTTGGGAGTTCAAACCCTCCCGAGACAACGAAAAAATCGTTGTCCTATGCATGATCACAATTTAGACTAAAAGAGTAATGGTTTATCCGTTGTAAAATTAAGATCTTTAAATTAATTTCATTTCCCTTTATAGGACATGATCATAAGAGGAGGAGAGAATATCTATCCGAGCGAAATTGAAGAATTTGTGCACCATCATCCAAAAATTCAAGAAGTAGAGGTATACATTATGGTCTATATCATGCACATGAGAAAAATACAGCACGTCCACTCTTCCAGCTCTATAAATCTTTCCAGTATTAATTAAAGGTTAGTTAAGGAAGAAATGCGGACTCAAATACTATGAAATTCTTCTCGTGCACATGCAGGAAGCACTCACTGATCTGACTATATGTACTGACCAATTATCTACTAACTTGTACCCAGTCCCTCAACGAGGATTGAAAAAAATAATGGTGCACGATCGAAATGATTAAGGCTCAAATTTCGTTGTCATTCCCATCATGCATCACACTTATCAGTCCACTGATTTATATGTATGTACTCATATTCCCATAATGTACAATTTGACAGGTCAACTGTATGCATGCATGATACAGTGTGTCCAGTGCATCTATGGTCCAGTGCCTTACTGTAACTCAGTTACATGCAGTCTGCCTTTGTCTTAAGTTAGTTAAATTGATATTTATAATTTCTGCACTTGTGAATACCGAGTATCTCTCCTGAGCATATAGTAATAATACCCCTGACCCTTTAACCACCTAACAATGACATGTTTATGCACAGTGCTAGAAAATGTTCGGCAACGCCGGCAGAAATTTTTTAACAAAATATCTTCGCAGGAAATTTTCTCACGCCCTGCAGGCATTTTCAGTCATCTTGTGTATTTGAATGCCACATAATTTGCTGCTTTAAAAATTCCAAATACGTAATTTGTAAATCTAAATTTTCATGTGTCGAAAATGAAGTTTACCACCATGTGTTGCACCGTGTGCTCTCTGAAACCTACCTATGCAGGAATTTTTACATTTAGATTTACACAGGAAATTTTTATTTTTGGATTTTGCTGTCTGGATGGAAAAATATTTTTCTATGTACCTGATCATGCATTGTATGTAAAATAGTGATATTTTCTTTAGGTTATTGGAGTGCCAGACAAGAGGTTAGGTGAGGAGGTTTGCGCGTGGATAAGGTTAGTTATTCGATTAGGTAGAATATTTTTATTCACTATATCAACTATATTTTATTTTTTCTGTGTTGTTAATGTTATGTACTCACATAACAATGTCACATGTACATCACAAACATCATATTCATGTACATCGTATTCATGAGTACATAACATTAACAACACAGAAAAAACCATATTACTAGATTACATTGATATCGAAGGAACTAGACTCAGTTCCGATATATCACATACTCGAACCGACCTGATCGCGTAGCTCAGTTGGCAGAGCATTGGGCTAGTATTCCAAAGGTCGTAGGTTCGATTCCCACCGTGGCAGGCATATTTTTCAAGCTCGCCTGGTTTGGATATACACTCAGAGTAACATCACAAACATCACAATATATTTTATTGATATAATATAGCTCTATATTTTCTAACACACAATCTCGTTCCCAGAGCACCTAACCTGAGTACGGGCATACTCTGAGAATGAGATTGAGAAGCACGGGACATGACGTATTACACCTAACGCATCGATCTCGTTCCCAGGGCCATGTTCGTGTCTTTCGCACGATTCTGTAATGGTCAGAGTTAGTATTAGTAATAATTTTTAAAATATGTTAAGGGTGAGTATATTCGCCATATTTTAATTAATAAAGGAAGGCAAACTAAGTCTTCATTATATTTTCGACATGAATTTAATCTGTTGTTGTTGTATTGTATGCAGGTTAAAGAAGGGTGAGACCGCTACAGCAGATGAAATAAAGGAATTTTGCAAAGGAAAGGTAGAGCATATTTCTTATATGAAATGCCGGCATGGTTCACACTTGTAAATGTACAAAATATAAGATAATTGTTTGCAAGAGAATTACTCGAACATACAGTATTTGACAGTATGCTCTATTTGTTGTTCCTTTTTATTTTCGAACCTTAAGGGCCCCTACTCTTTTGCTCTTTCTCTCCGCATGACGTATGTCGATTCTCGTGCAAGCTACAAAAAAACAGGTACATGGACACATGGTGAGGACGAGCAAAATATGGCTGTTTCTAAAATATGATCATATTTGTGTTTGGTCTTGCATACTGTATAGGTTCATTTTCCTATTTCATAAATAATGTATGACAAATACATTAAACGTAATATGCGTACTGATGATTTAAAGGAAATTATGATTAGATAGATATGGATAATTACTGGGCACGCTTCGTGTTGTTACTGCAGCTTCTCGCCTTTCAACACCAAAAAAATTTATTTTGTCTATTAACTTATATTAAACTAACCTATTTCGATTTTAAGAATTTGAAGTATCACAGACATAGTTATACTTATAGACAGAGTTACAATGCGTTGCATTTTGCTTTTCGATATAGATTGCCCATTTTAAAATTCCACGTTACATCAAATTTGTTGATGATATGCCAATGACAGTCACAGGAAAGGTAAGTTATATTCATTTGGTAAGGTAGAGTAATCTAAGTATAGCTATTAGATAACATATACGGGGATGCTTATTGCTTTTACCATGGTGCAATCCGCCCCACAACCCCATCCCTGTTTTGAAAAGAACATTTCCTCGGAAGTGTAAAATTAACTCATAAAAATGTACACCCACAGCTTCGTAGGCAGATCATGTGACGCTTATATTTTATAGCACTTTATTCCTAAGCCCGGATGGAGGAGAGTGCATGAGAGTTGGCTGTTCTTAACATCTTCCCAACACTATCATGTATTCTGTTTAAGTTAAACAGGGTTCGTACATGTCAGGAAGAGTAATATTCAAGGACTTTTCAAGGACATTCAAGGCCATGTATCAGCAAATTCAAGGACTAAATACTGAAGAGAAGGCGTTAGAAATCAGCAAAATATGACGTTGAATTGTTCAAAACGTAACTTAATTTATAATGAGGTCAGATATGAACATGTAAAATCAGTTTAACAAAATGTCCGTCCTGAATGTCAAACAATTTCAGAAAATATCCAAAAACTAAAGCAAGAAGAATTCAAGGACATTCAAGTACTTCTTTACCATTTCAAGGACATTCAAGGCCTTGAATTTTTGTTTTCAAATTCAAGGACATTCAAGGACTTTCAAGTTTTGTACGAACCCTGGTTAAATAAAACATGGTTAGAACACTCAACAAACTTTTATTTTGTTAATCTAGCTAGAATAAGTTCTTTGTATGTTTGCATGGCGATAAAACATATAATAGTTTTGTTTGTGGGTGGTGTTTCCACAAACAAAACTATTATAATCTAGCTAGAGTTTGAAATGTCGCCCGTAACAATACGTGACTGCCAGCTCTCACCAAATCCCATCTTCGTTTCACCATACATACATACAGAGTGATAAAAGTTTTGAGAAATCACATGTCACAGGTTATAGATGCATTTCTTTCTCTTCTTCATTTGTAGGTGAAGAAGTATGTCATGCGAGAGATTTCTGCAAAAGAACTAGGATTGGAGTAAAGTAATATCATGTCTATTGCATCGGGGTGGAAGGGGGATATTGAATACTGGTTTTGAAAGTAGTTGGAATATGAATATTTAGGGTAGGAATATGAATATTTAGGGTAGGAATATGAATATTTAGGGTAGGAATCACAGAACACCCAGGCTCTATTTGCACAGGCGGGCGCGGGCAAATAGACAAAAAGAGCCTGAGTCTCCTGTGTAGGAATATGAATATTTAGGGTAGGAACATGAATATTTTGGTAGGAATATGCAGGGGGTGGGAAAGGTAGCGGACCATTGCCCCCAGAAAATTTTTTGAGCTCCCAGAAAATATTTCCCCAAGAAAGAAAAAAAGATAATTGTAGAAATTTAGATAAAAGGAGAAATTCAGATGAAAACTTCTAACCAGAAGAAAAAATTAATAGTGCAATAGTGTATATGTATATGTATAGACTATAGAATATTGTATGGCAAGTGCATTTTAGAGACACCCGATTCTCAAACATTTCTGGGGGAGCATGCCCCCTGATCCCCCTAATAGTGGCCCACAGCAGTACCCTTTTTTTGCATCTATAAACCTGATGCATGTTATCTAAGTTAGTTTTATGTTATATTCCTAAAAGTATTAAGATTCTTAGTGCACTGAAATTATTTTTTTTCTATTAGCATATAGCATGACATTCAATTTGACACTTGTGAGGGTTACAGTTACAGTGTCGATTTTATGCTTGACTATTCACAGAACATTTTTCAATGATCTCTTGCGGTCTCAGAAAGTAAAATATTTTTATGAATATTTGGGGTAGGAAATATGAATATTTAGGGTATAGGAATATTTGATGCATGAATATATGTGGCCAGCCCCCGTCGCCAGGTATTTTGGGAATATTGAAGGACTGAAGGTAGGAATATTGAAAAATGCAGGCAATAATTGAATGTTGAGGTAAAAATATTCCGCTCCCACCCCCGATGTGATATGCATGAGCACCTTCGTATGTGCAATATTTGGCGGAAACATAACCAATCTCTTGGGAAACAAAATTTTCATTGAATCGGAAACGGGTTTGTTTTCCAATTTTGGTTAAATTCGATGACTAGTTACTAAATATATAACTAGATTTTTAAATATATATTTTTAATATTTTATAATGCATATACTAATACTAAAATTTAGGAATAATATATTTCAGTTGTAAAATGCGAAAACCTTTGTGACAATATAAATATTCTGGCAACGCATACCTGTATAGTAATTATAGTTAGAATCAACATTAAATCATTAGAATCAACAGCAAGTATAGTTAGAATCAACATTAAATCATTAGAATCAACAGCAACTATAGTTAGAATCAACATTAAATCATTAGAATCAACAGCAAGTATAGTTAGAATCAACATTAAATCATTAGAATCAACAGCAAAAATAGTTAGAATCAACATTAAAAATAACGCATATACCTGTATACCAAGTAATTATAGTTAGAATCAGCATTAAACATTCAATGTAATTAATTAGCAAATCATTATTTGGTTCATCATTAAAACATCTTGTCCATCACATGAGTCCTAAAATTGTATTTATTTACACTAAATGATCTACCCTAAATTTCAAACTCAACGAATACTTTCAAATCCGGATATATACTGTACGTCTTCATATTTATCTACATTTTTTACAAGACAAATATGACGAGTTGTTTGAAATATGACGTGTTGAAGAATACAGAATATTATCGTTTATAAAGAAAATTAATTATGCTTTATAAAAGGAAAATTATTTCATCATGTAGCTATACAGGGTGTCCCCAAAACCCCGAAAACCATTGAAATAAATGTATTGTTATAGAATTTGAATGCCTCAGCACTTTGCTGAACCCACACGTGCATCAAAGCTTGACATACGTAAATTGTATGCATAAAGAAACCGTTTAGGAAACTGCTGTAAATTCCCAACAGCAGAAAATCGTGCGCTTTACAAAGATATTTTAATTTCTCAATATTTAATATATGCACCCTTGTCAATATTTTACGCATCTTTGCGTTCAGCTTAGTGCTAGGGCATTCAAATTTTAACAATACTTATTTCAATGGTTTTCGTTTTTTTTGGGACACCCTGTACAACAGATTTTGTTATTGGTTGATTATGACAATAAAACTATAGAATAAATTTTCTAAAGAACGAAAATATTAATGAAATTAATGAAAATATTACGGTAAATTATTTCGAAAAACGCTATGTCCGGAATTTTTTTTTACCCCCGATCGCCAACAATTTTGGGAAAAGAAACATTAATTAGCGACTGAAATGTTCGTCCGTCGGGAACGACTTCGGCCACGCCCTTTTTGTCGGGCAAATCAAACTCACCCCCAACCTCATACCCAGGATCAAAGGACAGACCCTGGGAACGAGGTTGGCTCACCCCCCAGCCGTAATACCGAAGTTTCGCCCCCTCGTTATGTTGTCATCCACGTCACAGTTCACGTTTGAATGTGTGCGTGTGTGTCCATCTGTGTTTGACTGTCAGCACGATAAATATCGAACGTAAAACTACGAAAATTTGTGGGACTAATGAACATTGCCCAAGGAGAAATTGATTCAATTTTGGTTAAATGTAGATTGACAATAGACCTTACCGATTATTAAAGGAATACCGAATGGTTTTCCGTGCAGGATTGCGTGATCCACGCACGAGGGATGTCGCGAGACTTTCGGAAAGCGTAAAAATACTCGAGCCGCTGTGTTTTTACGCTTTCCGAAAGTCGAGCAACATCCCAAGTGCATGGATCACGCTATCCTGCTTGGAAAACCATTTGGTAATTGTTTTATAAAATAACTAATGTGAAACAATGACATAGAATCCCACGAAGGCATTTTAATCATCGTGCAGAATAGTCTGATCCTGCACGGCTATTGACCAATCAAATTGCGTATTTCACTGTAGACTGTAGTTATTATATAATCTCTTTTACCCAATGGCCTCGTTTCCATGTTAACTTATTTTAGCATGTCAGGGGAAGATAAAGATTATATTCCCATGTTTTCCTGGACGAATTTGTTTCTTGCTGTTCTTAGGCTCAATAAAAAGTAATTTTCAACCCTACTAAGCACAAAACATGAGTAAGTATTTGACATGACATGAAAACGAGGCCATTGGGTGAAAAGTGAATAAACGGATGCGAAATTATCGAAAGTTTGTCTGCTGGACAGTGTAAACTGAGTGCGTAATTAGTCCGTTGTATAATTTATGCATGATACATAATTAAATAAAAAGCAGTGGTCAACAAGAAGAAGACCTTTAGAAATTGTCCTATACTCCTATTGTTATAATTTCAATGCCTGAACCACGCGTGCTAAGTGTAAAGGATGCGTAAAATATTGACAGCTACGCGTGCAACATTACAACATATTTGTTCCAGGGTGCGATAATGCAATATTTTTAGCCGTACCTGACTGGTACTCCGACAACTTTTGCCGCGTACCTGGTCTGGTACAAACTTAAGAGTCAAGACGTACCTAAGACTACTTCCGAGTCATGCGTTTTTATACCTACGTATAATTTACTGGTCCAAAAGCAAAAAATGTATGGGCAATTTTGTACAAATGAATCTTTATAATTATGGTATTTGTACAACTACATAATATAACAGTTTTCAAAGCGTCAACGTTGTGACTCGAATGCCATCGCTCATTTACAGTGGATTTATCGAGGGCGCTAACAGTCTGACCTCAGCTACATACAGTGTAGTTTTCCTCATTGGGCCTAACAAAAACCTGTACATGTGGTTCCGGTTTCATATCGCGAAAAAATTAGGGTCGGCGTTTGACGATAAAGATTTTAAAATCGCTCACTCGAGCGATTTTTTTTCAGTCGGATGATGACGATAAATTTTTTTAACAAGCGCAAAGATTTGGCTTTTTTCATCCCAAAATATGTCGGATGCGTGGAATTTACATGTACAGCTAAAGTTCTCAATACTTTGGATACTTTGGCAGGTTTGCTAGTTATTGCTAGAAGGAAAATGTAAGTACGCGAATAGCAAATTTCCGCGTACCTACGTGGTACTTGCCTAAAAACAAAGAAGTACCAGACCATAAATTTGGCGTACCTCCGGTACGTTGGTACGCGAATTATCGCACCCTGTGTTCTATGCAGAAGCGAACAGTACTTTGTGTTGAGAGAAATGGCGACCACGTCGAAGGACAAGGTGCTTGATATTTTGATAGATGTAAATAAATTATATTTGATACTTGTATTAAAGCTGGAGTTACACAAGCAACAAAATTTCTGCAACTTGCAACAAAATCTGATTTCAACGCATGTTAATTGAAAATGTTTACACATAAATTACAAATCACATTTTACAAGGCAACATGTGTCGACATTTCTACTTAAATAACTTGCGTTGAAATCAGATTTTGTTGCAAGTTGCAGCAATTTTGTTGCTCGTGAAACTCCAGCTTAAGGCTTGAGCGCTAACGTTAAATTAATGAGCAAGTATATTAATTCATATGTTGACATGTTGGATGAAATGGAAAATCTTTTAAATGATTTGCCATGCATAAAATTAAATTATGCGTGTTTACGCACCCGTGGCTTAGCGTGTAATGTTCAGGCATTGAAATTATAACAATAGGCTAATTTCTAAAGGTCTTCTTTTTTTATACACCCTGTAGAAGGCAATGGTTAAGTAGAAAGCTATGCTCTTTTGACCACTGCGTCTATTCGTCTCTACTACGTAATCCTAAAAAATGTTTTTGTAAATAATTTAATGAAAAAATAGTGCTATTAAAGAACCTTGAATTAATCACTGGCGGAGATATGCAGTCTCCGAGTTCCCTCTAGTTTTCTATTGCGGTGACACGTACGATAACATTGTACTGTTGGAGTGAATTGCCATTAGTACGAGGCAAGCTCTTTTCTCATTTGTGTAAACCTCCAGTTACAATAATATATAGTTGCGCTTTTCACTGCAATTGAAATCATGATCTGGGACTAGTAACAGTATTAATCTTGTTTGAGAGGCTCTGTATATGTATCAGCACTCTCTTTCATAGCCATCCATATATAAATCCCAATCACAATATGAACTGCTATCACGCTACCGGCTACAGGTATTACAACATTGTCTAGAAATAAAGAAAACAGAAGTGATCAGGATATGATTGCTGATAGTGTAGTAGAAATTGTCAGGATTGGGGCATCCCACTCGAGAGAACTAAATGTTGAAGGGTTTTTGTTTATGGAAATTTCGAGTGTAAAATCAATTTTAAACATATTTAGACCTAACCAGGATCATGTGCGAAAAATGCAACTATAGACCTTATTCATAAATCGTGATCGAGGCCTCGTATCCTAGGAAACGGGGAAAAACGCGGGAAAATTGACAAAATGTTTTTTTTGCTGTCGGCTATGGCAGCTTTTTTTCGTGAATATTACGGCTTTTTTCGAAAATAATATCTATAAAACTGAGTTTGAAAGTTGAAAAAAATATTCTGAGAAAATATAACATGATATTTAAAGCAAAAGATGCTGGAGTCAATCGAAAAAGGAAACCTTTGACTTTGTATTATTGTCGTAGTTTGTATGGCCAAAACAAACAACCAACAAGGCTACAAAACGTCTATACAACACCAAAATCGTAAGAAATATGAAACTATTGTTGAAGAAATAAGATTACAACTCACTCAGGTAATGTAGCCTTCATTTTTTAAACTCGTAAGCTGCTTGCAGAATGTTATCGAGCCACAGCCATAGTTCATATTTTCCCGTACGAATCAATGACATTTGACGTTCTCTTGTGATTTTTGACCTCTTGTTTTCTTTCATATTAATGTCAAATTCGAAAAATTATACTTTCATTCTACAGTTGTCTTGATTTTTCACGGAATAACCTTTATATTGACGTTAAAATCTCAGTAAAATACTGTTTTTCGCTTCTGGATAAACACTGTCGCTATATGTTGTCATTTTCCCCACACAAAACCGGGAGAAAAACCGGTCGCTTTTATAATATACTCGTTTACCGCTTTCGTTGTGGGCACAAAGTCTTAAAATACACACAAAATGTTATAAATCGCAAAAGGCAACAAGAAACAAGCCGTTGAAGTCGATATATAGCATCTGAATTTGGCTTGTCAAGCAGTTTTCGCTTGTATTCCCGCGTTTTTTTTCCCGTATCCTAGGATACGAGGCCTCGTCACGATTTATGAATAAGGTCTATGGGCCCGCAGGCAGGATCTATGGCTCTAACTAGCCTGCGTGGCAGGCTCATGCTCTAACCAACTGAGCTACAGAGTCCAGCGGCCGAGCTTTAACCGCAAGTTCATGTAATTATATTATTAAAGAGTAAAGTGATACAGTATTTACCCTTACACTGGTGTCAGGATTAATTCTAAATAACTAAATGTTTAGAACTAATTCAGACCTGATATTTAGTTCTGTCGAGTGAGATCCCCAAAACTGATATTTACATACAGTATATACACCTTACACTAGCGTCACCTTAATATAATTACATGAATTACTTCACTTGCGGGTAAAGCTCGCCAGCTGGACTCAGTTGGTTAGAGGCGCTGCAATGGAATCGCAGGACCGCAGGTTCGATTCATGCAAGAAGGCCTATGCCTGACAAATTACAAGCTTTTGTGAAACCCCGTAGACATATAGTAAAACGGTAATGAAGAAAGAGCCATACGCATATGTTTTATGGAACTAACATTGCCATTGTCTCGAATCTATTATTAGATAGCTTAAGATCTACGACGTCAGCTAGGACGTCAGGGCTATGCAGAGGACTGGGACTAGGATGTCGTCCTAATGTAGTCCCAGTCCTCTGCTTAGCCCTGACGTCCTAGCTGGCGTCGACGTCGTAGATCTTAAGCTATCTATTATTAGAACCTTCTTCAGAGAGAAGTTTTCAAACATGATTTCTTTAATTTTCTTACATAGTCGAAGTTAACCGAAAACGTTTCCTCGAGATGCGATTATAGAATACGCACCGTTGGGAGTTGGGACTCCGGTGTAGTGGACTGGGACACAGGCTAGGAGAAGCTAGGTGTAGCCAGTGAGCTCCATATATATCTGGAGTAGGAACTTGGTTGCTCAAAGTGAAGCCAGTTTCGTGTTAACCGCGCATACAAAAACAATAGAAAGGGACTGGAACTGACGTCCAACAGCTCCTTCAATTTCCGCCATCTTGGCAAGGAGTGTTGAAATTTCGTATTTTGACTTCGATTTAAAGAATAATATTGTGATTTTATGAACTGAAAACTTGATTAGTGATACGGTCCATTAGAAAAAACTGGAATTAGCTGGGGAAAATGGTATAAAAACTGTTTACGACCTTCAGAGCTATTGGACGTCAATGGCCGCCATCTTGGCTTCACTTTTCTCATTGACCGAATGACTGAAGTTCTTACTCCAGATATATATATAGAGCTCACTGGGTGTAGCCTCCTCCGCAAGTATCTCTATGGGTTTTAGCCCGCGAATGGGTAGTTCGAAAAGATGTGATGTGAGATAAAAAGTGAGATGCCTGCTGAGGAGGCTACGCTAAGACTGTCGTGCTCTGTTTCGAAATATTTCGTGCACTTTGATTGGATAAAATTCGCCTCCAATCCATGTTGGCTAGATAGTTCGATAGCTCAATATCAGTGCGGCGTGCCGAAGGCGCGAGTTCAAATTCCACTAAAACTGTTTTGCCCATGACTCAGAAATGTACGAGATTTACAAGATCCTCTAGTACAATCGATACTTACGCCTAAGAAGAGAGACGGTGTCAAACATGGACGTAGTAGCTACTTTCAATCATGTTTGATTACGATCAGCAAGAGTATCGAATGCGCTGCCAAATGAACTTCCACGCAAATCAATATCCCTTCAAACTTTTAAAGCAGTGCTAATACAAGGAATATTTATTTACCAATCGGCCCTAGTCAGGATGCAATAATTCAAGATTTTTAGTCCTACCTAACTGGTACGCCAACGATTAATGCCGCGTACTTGCGCCATTACAAACTTAACACTCAATGTGTACCTATAGTTTGTAAAATAAAATACATAAAGTGCAGGTTTCTGAAAGGTAACAAATCGGCGTCACAATTGACCCCAACCTTCTTCAGTCCCTGCATCAGTCCAATCATGTTTTACTGTAAGTACGCAAATTATCGCACCCTGATAGTTTCCACTTACGATCCTCAATCCTGACGATGTGCGTACATGGAAAACTGTCTGTGTCAGGTGAAACTCGGCTCGCAGTTGCTGGTTTCTCTATCTTGTTTTTATGATTTTATCCCACCCGGCAAATTAATGAAGTTTACATAAAATATTTTTGTCGTTTGTATATTTGTTAGTTCGTTTGTTTGATTATCTGTTGTGCAATATGTTTTGCTTTTGCTTAAGAAATGCATGAAACTTATGTGAACATTTGAGGCATGTGTTTCTTTGTTGTGAAGAGGGGAGGGACTTAACAGAGGGGGGAACTTAATTAATATAAGGGGGGGGGGGTGAATAGGTTTTCGGATCGTCGGATTTCACAGAAAAAAATTGTTCGGATTTCGGATCTGGCGAATATTTTACACGGATTTGCGGATCTTATTAATACAGCGGATTGCAGATTTATCTAATATTTTGGCTCGGATTGTGGATTTAGCTTGCAATTTAGTTCGGATCCTGGATTGTGACTTCATACTGTAAGACCATTGACTATTGCTTCAAATTTGGGCGGATTGGCGGATTTATATACCCCTCTTCACCCCCCATATAACAGTTCTTCATCTAAAAGAGGGATGGGGGTTATTAGAGACACAATGGGGGCTCTTTAGAGTGGGAGTGAATAAATAGAGGATTTAATGTGTATTCCCCTAGCATCATAACCAATACCTTTTGGTAGAGTTTTCTGAAGAAGAAAGAATGTTCCTATTGGAAAAACAAACATTCCAAGTGAGAATAGCAACAGTTTCTTCAATACAGTTATATCAGCTGAGCTATAAAATAAACAGAAAAAGAATTATAAAAATTCAACAACTACCCTGCAGTCTTCTTGAAGGTTATGTTAAAACCTTCTGTGAAAAGTGAATTGAAGTACCTACAGCAAGTCATGGCCTCATACTTTATCCACTGCACTGGCATTACAGTATAACATACATGTTCTATTCTGATTATAATAAACCTTGTAAGAATTTGTTAATTTCAGTGGTAAACAAATTCAGTAAAAATTCAAATATATTAAGAGTTAAGTGATTAAGGGTTCTAAAGGGCTAGGGGTTGGATGTAGGTCAGATTCATGACGTGTTAGTTTAAATGCATCTTTTTTATTCTACTTTACATAATGTCCAAGGAGTTAATAGGATTAGTGAAATATCTAGGGAGGGGGTTAGGGGGATCAAAGGGGCTTATAATCAGGTCTCTGGTGGCCAGGCATAAAGGATTAGGGTTTGATGCAGGTCAGGTGACAAATGATTTTAGTTATACTGACAATTTTTAATGGTGGTGCAAATAGAGATTATAAGGGTTCTAGGCTGTTGCGGTATATCGATATATCAATAATTATCGGTTTTTATAAATACTGATTACTCGATTAATGAAATTTTCGATATTAGTGACTTTAGGGTTCTAATATAGTGACTTACATTGCATATCACATCTTATGGTAATATGGTTAACCCTGGGCTCCATGTGCATGCAAATTCTTTTCTGGTGTCAGCAATACAGGGTGTATAAAAAAGTAGACAATTTTGAAACGGCTCTCAATTTCACAAATCTGTTCATTTCATCAAATTTTTTACATTTAGATTGCTTGGATATTTATAATATTTAATATTTAATAAGATTCGGCTACTATTTAAATGCAACATATAGAGCCAGGGAATTCGCCACAGGTTTCCCCAATTACGGCGATCCCATATAAACAAGAATAAAATTACTGTACAAAACAAATTTTCAAGCAACTCAACAAGCTAAAACTAATAAGGCTAACAACAACTTATTTCATTGTTAAGCGATCTTGCTCTTTTGCACTTTACACACACTGATTTCCAGGTGCGCGGATCGTCACATTTGAATGTTTTGGATAGTGCATGTTTGTAGTAGAGTTTAAGACCTGATTTAAAAGACAGCAAACCTATATCTCTAGTACGCAAGTTACTGTCTAATATGTTCCACGTTTTGCAAGTTCTTATAAAAAATGAGGTCTGGAATGTTACGGTTTTCGCATAAGGAATAACAAATCTAATTAGGTTTGCGTTGGATTCACTTCTTGTAATTCCTGATCCAGCCATGATCGGTAGAACACGTTCGTCAATGTACGTAAGACTGTTGATGATCTTGTAGAGGAACACCAGATCTAAGTATTCGTGCCAATATGAGACAGGTAATATGTCAAGCTGAAGGAGTCTTGTCTTGTAAGAAATGTCTGTGATAAACCCAAGATTCAATATGTATTTAGTTGCTTGTCTCTGCACTTTCTCAACGTCCTCAATAAGTTTCACTGACTGAGGACACCAGGCTTGGGTTGCATAGGAAAAGTTACTTCGCACTAGTTGAAGGTACAGAAGCCTTCTCGCGTTGGTATCCGTTATCTCCATGGTAGAACGTCGGATTAACCCGAGCGTTTTGTTGGCTTTTGACCGAACTTTGTTGATCTGAACATTCCATAATAGTTTCGAACTGATCGTAATGCCCAGATCGGACGTACTCTACATCAGAAGACAATAGTTGGTGATCGCCAAGTGCATATGGGTAAATTAAGGGAGACTTCCTTCTTGTGATAGACAACACTTTACACTTCGATTTGTTAAAGCTCAACATGTTCTCATTTGACCAACAATGGAGGCTTTGAATATCCGATTGCAATGCCAGTGCATCGTTACGATTTTGCACACATCTGTGCAGTTTGGTATCATCAGCATACAAACCGACCCCAGTAGAAATGGATATGTTATCGGGCAAATCGTTAATGTACACCGAGAAGAGGAAGGGAGCCAGCAATGAACCTTGTGGGACTCCGCATGTTATTGGTAAGGAAGTAGATGTCGCACCGTGAACAGTTACTCGTTGACAGCGACCTGATAGATAGTTTTCAAACCACAACAAAAGAGAGCCAGATAGACCGAAATCGCGAAGTTTTTGTAACAGTTTGGAGTGGTCAACGGTATCGAAAGCCTTGGAAATGTCCATGAAGACAACGTCTGTTTGTAGTCCTTTATCTAAGTCCTTCCCTATTTTGTGTAGTGTCGATAGTAATTGAGATGTGGTAGACCTTCCAATGTAGATGCGCAGGGTATAAATTTTCCAGAGTGGGGGGTGGTCTTTTTTAGCAGCATTAAAACTAGCTTGTGCACGAAATTTAAAAGTTTAAAACACATTTTGAGTTCATGGGCGAGAAATTTGTTGTTTTTCATCAATGGTCCAAATATCAATGGTCCAAATAGAAAGTTTACTCAGTTTTACAGTCAAACCGGATGTTCTCTTGCGAGCAACATTGCAATATTGTCCCACAATATTGCAATTTTGATAGAAAAACTGCTCTGAGCAATTTGCAACTGACGTGAACAAATTGCACTGTTGAAATTTACAAATGATTTGTAAACAAAGCCTCTGATTGGACTATAAGAGAGAGGGAAGCCAATCAAATAGTCTGAGCAACTGGATTGCATGGTGCTTCCCTCTCTCATATAGTCCAATCAGAGGCTTTATTTACAAAACGAAATTTGACCGGAAATTTGCAAAATTGACCGGAATTTTTTTTAGTTTAGTTTGACCAAGTCCACCCCAATGAGCAAACTCTGTCAAGCATGCAGACGTGCACTGAGTAAATCACTCTACTTGCAATTGTGTAAGGCAATTGTAACTGTAGCTTAAATTGATTGACGGGTGATTTAGATTGCAAATTAATTAAGACTCACCTCACATTTTCACGACCACGCTATAAGCCGCCTTATATCTCATTTGTGTCGGTTTTCTTTGATCGCCCGAGGTTTATAACTAGCTAATATACCTTGAATAAATAATTATATCAAACTTTTCGACAAAACGCGAGAATTTTTCATCAAAAATTTTTGAAAATGACAAAATATGTTAGAAAACCTCCACAAATGAGATATTAGTTATAAACCTCGAAAGTCGGTTAATAACTGTATATTGCCCTCGGACGCTGCGCGTCCTCGGGGGCAATATATCAGTTATAAACCTCCTTCTCGGTTTATAACTCTAACTTCTTGTTTATTGAGCCTGTGAACTATACTTTCCAGTTGATTACTTTATATTAGCCTAATATAGATAATCCAAACTTATAGATGGTACTCACTGTGCTGAGCGCCGACCCGATCATTAAGAAAGCATTTTTCTTTTTCTCAAAATTTGGCCGGACAAAATTTCCGATCATTTCAGCATTTGGTCGGAAAAATCGGAATTTGGTCGGAAAACCGCCGGCCGTTATTTCAGGCTCTGTACTATACAGTATAGTTAAAAATGCTTTTAAATTTGACAATTGTGTACAGGTATAGACCATTCTTTCAAGAAAACTGATAGATATTTTTGGCAGGACAAAATATCCGACCAGTTTAGCATTTGGTTTGGAAAACTGTAATTTGGTCTGGCTGTTATTGTTTCAGGCTTTGCCATTTATATTTAGCTAGGTCTTTACAGTAATAGCAAATGTTTTTAAACTTGTGGCCGTTGTCTTCCCTTCATCAATGGCCAATGCCCAGTGGTAATGACCCCGAGGTTGACAAATGCTCAGCCCACATGTGAATGCACATGCAGCTGCAAATACCTGGCCCTGGGGGCTACCCGGCTAGTAAGCGTGCAAATGCCCAACAATGTACGGTTTTAAAATTAGTTTACAATAAAGTTAATTATCTTAGACCGAATGAAGTTAAAGATTTAATACTAATTTAACGTTTTGTCTCAACTGAATAAAGAATTATATTCTGATTTTGACTTTTTGAGCTTATTTTTAGTTGAATACAGGGCCACCAGGCTACAAGATAAGCAATTATCCTTATCCTTCATATCACAATAAAGTTAGGCTACCTGAATTGATCTGTAGGTGTTTTATCCATTCTTTCAGATCCAAAGATTCAGTCACTGACATGTGAACTGTTTAGCTCACTGGTTTAGCTGCCATTGTTGAAAATGCAAATTCTCCCGACTCCCCCCTCCTTCAACCACTTGTCACTGTGTAAAATAAGGAAATAACTCTACCATTCAGGGGGGTGACCGAATGGCGATTTCAGAAATGTGAGGCCAATATGGCCGGCTTGTTAGGAAGGTGGAGAAGTTCTATACAACATACTTCGCGGTCATTTTACGTTTTACGGCCATATGTAGGTAGAATTAAAAACAGAGTATATCAACTGAACCTTTCAAATCGTAAATATGTTGGTTTATTGTTTTCAAGACAAGTGACACTCAGTGCAGGATTAGCAAGTGCATTGGTTGGTTCAGTGGTATGGTGCTACTCTTCTGGGCATGGTAAGATACATTGTGATTACAAACTCAAAGTAACCAAGCTTAATATCACTCTGGACACTACCCATGGCCTCGAGGCATTGGAACATAAGAGCTGATTGATAATATAAGCCAGCTCATTGGGTCATTCCAGAAAACATTCATGCCTGCAGATTCGAGAGAATTTGAAGACATAAAAGAACAAAAAAAATATTTTGGGAGATACTATGGATGTCTTCAAAGTGTGTGAATGCATAAAAATTCATATTGTGTTCACTCCCACAAACACTTGATGACCATGTCTGCAAATTCTGCATATTACAATTCTGACTTTAGACAACCATCCAGTTCTTATATAGTAACATTAATTACTATAAATAAATGATTGGCTGTTTAAAATGAGGATTGTAAAATGCTAAATATGTAAGTGTGGTCGTCAAACAGTTGTGGGTGTGAATGCGATACACATTTTTTATGCATTCACTCACTTTGGTGACATCCGTAATACTGGTATCTGATATTAATTAACAAGGAAACGACAGTCACTAGTGACATGCTGGCTCTTGTTTGTCATGGGAGGCCAGCTCAGATGCATTTGGCATCCACTAGTAATTAGTGATTGCTTGTTAATTAAGGGGGGTCAATGCCCATTGTCCTGGGGCTAGCTGCTGGAAAATTTGAAGAACATATAATGCTTATTGTGATACTTATTGCTCATGACATTAACGTTTCTTATCCAATTTTTTACTCTCAATGCATGCTATTTAGTGTGGCATGGTACACATAATGGGTGATTCCAGCTATAGACTAAATTTTGATCTAGGCAAGAAGAATGAAATTCAACACCACAGCTAGAACGAGTGTCTTAGAATGAGTAAAACTGCAAAGTTTGGTTGCGAAATGTTATAAAATGAAGAAAATATAGCCCTGTGAAATTTGCAAATTTTGTATATATTTGTATTATGTGCGGTAAAAATAACCACTTTTGGCTCAAAAATGGTTATTTTTCGTGACTGTAATGCAAATATATACAAAATTTGCAAACTTCACAGGGCTATATTTTCCTCATTTTACAACATTTTGCAACCAAACTTTGCAATTTTACTTATTTTAAGATGCCCTTTCCAGCTATGGTAATGGCTTTTGTTCTTCTTGTCTTAGAGCTGCTCCCATCGGTTAATTTTTGTAATCGATTAATCGTTGTCAACAATTGATTAATATCGATTAATCGTATCGATAATTAATTTAAATATGAAAAGCCCATGGTGGTTTGACAGGTTTCTAAATTGTAATTAAACTTAACTAAATTTTGGGGGGTTTCACCAGTCATTATAAACGTTTTAAATCTTGGTTTAAAGTGAACGTTAATCCCAATTGTTGATTGTGCTCCTACACTACACACAAGGGAAATGCATGAAAAGACAGGAACGATATTATGGATGTTTACTTTAGTTGTTTACCTAAGTAAATTTGCGAGATTCAGACTCGTATGGATAATTGGTTTATTTCCGCACGCTGCAATGTTGAACGCAAATAGTAATAAATTCTTCTAATAAAAAAACTTTAAACTTTAAGATATTTTCACAACACTGGTAACCTGATCAGACTATGGTAAACTTTGCATGCTGCGAGCATAGATATGGCTGCGAGTGAAATTGATATTTGACGCACAATGTTTTGAATCAATTTGTCATTTAATGTTTCAATCACATTCTTGATGCAATTTTTTTAATCCGGGAAGAAATTAACTCATTCCCGCATCACGCTGTGTGGTGTTATATATGATCCGATTATTGTTAAGCATAATCGATTGTGGAAAAATAATCGATTGATCGATTAATCGGGAGCAGCTCTATCTTGTCTAGATCAAAATTTCATGTATAGCTGGAATCATCCATTGTTCTAGTTCTATTACTGTCAAAAGAGATTCATCTAAAAATAGTCAATTGTAGTCTGTAGCTTTTGGGATATTCATAACAATTATATTAACAATCAATTTGCATATTATAGTGTACTTCAAGAATCTGCATACAAATTTGTCATCGTATTTGTAAATCAATGTCTTTCTGTTGATTATTTGTTCTTTTCTAAGAAATATTGAAATTTTCTGCTCAACTGCAGCATAGATGAACAAATGTTTGTTTTCACTCCCTGTGTTGAGAAGGAGCGCTCTGCATTTGCTGAACTGTTAGGAACTGTAACTGCAATTGATAGAAAATGAAAATCATCAGAGCCTCCAAACGGATGGCACATTTTTTTTCTGTCTTGCACACTAGTGATTCGTAAATATGTGATTACTAGTGCTCCAAGACATGGAAATAGATTTAAAAAATGTCGAGACGTGCCCACCTATATAGCCCTAGGTCAGATGTAGGTCGGAGAATTTTTTTTTCCGATCTCAATTTTGCATGACGCACTCTGGTCTGTACATTATGCAATAGACCTTTCCCCTTTTGAGTGAAATTTTGATCTAGACAATTAGTCTGGACAAAAATTTCATCACAGCTTGAAAGAGCATCACAAAATTAGTAATATTCCGAAGTTTCGTTGCGAAATGTTGTAAAATGCAGATAATATAGCCTTGCGAAGTTTGCCGTTTTTCAGTCATTTTGCGTTACAAACGGGAAATTGATAATCAGATGATCAAACTGATTATCAATTTCCCGTTTGTAATGCAAAATGACTGAAAAACGGCAAACGTCGCAAGGCTATATTATCCGCATTTTACAACATTTCGCAACGAAACTTCGGAATATTACTAATTTTGTGATGCTCTTTCAAGCTGTGATGAAATTTTTGTCCAGGCATATCTAGATCAAAATTTCACTCGTAAGGGGAAATGTCTATTAAGCACCGCATGTAACTTTAAGCGGAGAACCTGAAAAGTGTTTAATGTATCCGATATTCGACAGGCGACACTTTCTTTCAGCATTTCTCTCTTCGAATAACAAAATTCTTGCATTAACGTTCTTGTTTCATTTCATGCAATTTTGGCGCCCCCTCTCTAAGCTTTTGCATCCCGCTAAAAACCCTTCGATGGAAGGTCCATGGTCCAAGCCTCGGATATTTGCTACGGAAATCAAGGTTTTTTAGTAGTACATTCTCAGTATTGACGCGTACTTGAGTCTTGAGCTGGTACAAACTTAAGACTCAAGCCTCAAGGTACACTTGGTCTTTAGAATGAAGTACGTACATATCTTGGCCATCTCACTCGATAGAACTAATTGTTGAAGGAATTTGTAGTTGGAAATTTCGAGTGAAATTTTTATATATTTATTAGACCTAACTAGGAGCAGTTGCGAAAAATGCAACTATAGACCCATTGCACTGACGTGACAAATCCTTAGAGTGTCCTCCAGATGCTCCCTAACAATAACTGTTCGGGTACAACAACCACATACAGCGCAAAAATTAACCATTTTAATACAAAATTATTATAAAGGTTTACAAAATTTGCTTTGTTTACAAAAGTTATATTATGCATAGATTGCTAATTTGTCCTCCAGATGCATCGTCACCGGCGCTGTGACGTCATGTGCAATGAGTGTATAGGCCCTCTGGCAGGAATCGAATCTGCAGCCCTGGTGCAGCGCTCTAACCAACTGAGCTACAGAGAGACAGTTATCGAGTTCTAACAACAAGTTGCAAGTACATGTGCTGACCTCAGTTATCTATTTGGTGACAGTAAATGTTCTCAGTGACACTTTGGAACCAGAAATTGTTGTTGCAACCAGAAATTGTTGTTGCAACATTCTTATACGAGCTAACTGAGATTGTACGGTTGACAATAATGCGTGATAAGGAATATTTGGATAATTAGCGTTGTCACCCTGCCTATTTTGTACACTAATTACAGCCAAATCTGGGGGGGGGGGATGACCGTCGACCAAGCCCATACGCACTGCAGTGTTCTGTAGAATGGGCAAACATTGCCCCTGGAAGGGTTCAGGATAATTATTGTTGTAATGATGACAGGGTATTCCCTTTTCAAAATGAAACAAAATGGATTTGATAATGAAATTGGCACCTCCTTCCCACTAAATCCATCCCTGTTCTAATGTACCATTGGAGATCTCGAACTAACCGGTAGCGCTAGTTATCCACTATGCTGTAAATTCAATTTGTGGCCAATGCCATGGTGGGCTGCCCTCAACAACAGTACTTGGCATAAGTTTTGTTAACTGTACGTGTACGTGTACACGTGTACGTGTACGTGTACGTGTACGTGTACGTGTACGTGTACGTGTACGTGTACGTGTACGTGTACGTGCACGTGTACGTGTATGATTTAGTAAAGATAGACAATAATTTAGGTGCAAGAGAAATTTTGTTTGGTTGTATCAAAAAAGTTTAAATAGAAAAGGTTAAACAACAACTGGATGGGAATCCCTTCCTGACATAATGTCTGTGACACATGGCTGCCACAGGCCATGATGCAGTGTACTGACCTTGGTTTCTTGGAAACATATTGTTCAAATTTTGACTTATTAAACCATTCACACTGCACTTCAATGACGCATTCGAGAAATTCGGTGCGAGAATTTGTACTAACATTCCAGCCTAGAGCAGACCCTAAACTTGGCTTTCGCAGGTTTGGTCAATTTTGGGCTTGCAGTTGGTGAATGTTATAAACTCTATATATGCATAATATTCAATACATTGCATTTGTGCGATTAGCGTCATGCATGTCAACCATATTTTCGAACATACAGTGAGTTTCATTTGGAATGCGCGGTTTTCTGGTTGCTAATCTCCGGTCGTGTGACGTGCAACTGGAAAAATTTTTCCAGTGGTTTTTCTTTTCGTTGTGGCTTTTCGTTACTTTATTATGTTATAATATTGAGGATAATTAGTATGTAGTGTTATGTATGTATTTATTTATTTATGTATTGAGCTTCACCAAACATAAAATACAGTTCTCTTTATCATATTGTTCTTATCCAACAGTGGTAAAAGTTAATATGCATGTATATTCTAAAATCTGCCGTATAATGTTTAGTCATAGTGATTGTTTTTTAATGTATTCTTTTTACTAGGTCAGTCTGAGAAGCTATGCTATTTAGCCAAAGAAAATCGCAGCAAAGCACTAGAGACGTATGTTTAATACTATAGCTTTGAACGTAGCTACAAAGTTGTCCTTCAGTAGCATTATATGAGTGTCGTGTTTTCGAATGAGGCCAAAAGCTGCTGTTGAAAATAAAGCCTAACTTATAGGCGGCAAATTTTAATATAAAAACTATAAAAATATAAAAAGGTTTTTATATTAAAATTTGCCGCCTAAGTTAGGCTTTATTTTCAACAGTAGCTTTTGGCCTCATTCGAACACACAACATGATAGCTTTGAAATCAATCTAGTCATGTTTTAGTGATTTTAATATCAGTTATTGGAACAGCTAGTGTGCTGTATTGTTGAGAGTGCTTCGATTAAGCGTCGTTATTCAGAAGCAACGTTTACGCCCTCTGGCAGGTCGAGATTTCGGCCATCTCAAATTTCCATCTACAAAAATCCTTCAACTATTAGTTCTATCGAGCGAAATACTCAAAATCGCGATATATATGAGGTACAAATTCTTGAAATCCGATGCAGTCCAAGTTACCTATCTTCCGTGCACACTCTGAAGTCTCTCCTCCGAAGAGGATTTTTAAAATCCACGCATCTCTAGACATTTAAAAAACGCAACAGGGCTCTGTGAAGAATTGTCCCCTCTTGTGATACCCTCAATGGAGACTGGATAAAACACTTGACTAAATACGCGTATGAATGAGCCTCCTTTTATTGTTTTACCTTGTATATGGTACACGATTTCATTCGAAACCCCAAGTGTCCTTGCATGTCTCTTCTTAACCTATGAATGCTAATGGTATACCACTGAATGTAGATTATTATCTGAAAATGGATGTGATGTCAATCAAATACATTCTCTTGGATGGACTGCACTGCACGTAGCAGCAATGAATGACAGCGTAAGGTACTGTATGGTTAGTCTTCATTTGTATGAAGTCTATAAAGATCAGGTAACGTGATGTAATGATTTTTGGAACAAAACAACAAAATCCGAGGTTTTGAGGAAAGACTCGTTGTCATAATGAATATATTATACCCATTATTTTATTTCTTTATTTTATTTTACAGATTTTGCCATTTAACACAAACTATTACACAAAATTAGTTAGACAATCGATTACATGGCTGGAATTACCACATTGCATGCCAACCTCGTCTTGTTTGCAGGGATGCATATACCCGCCTCCCCTATCTTCACTGCAGTAGATTTTCCTCAGAAAAAACGTGATATCGACCATAATTACTTAATTTTCTATGATTTATGGAATGCTGTTGGAAGCTCCTGTAATAACGACCCCCCGCTGGAGTTCGTGGAAATGTTCAATTCTCCCTCCCTCGCTCGCTATCCTTTAGGGCAATGAAATTGCTGTTACAAGCTGGGGCTGATCCGAATGTAAGGGATGAATATTCTACACCATTTAAGACTGCTGGGAAAAGGAAAATGAGAGTAATGGACGGTGAGTGTATAGAGATATTAGCATCTGAAGCATCTGTTTGTCGGGATCAATCAGTGCCCTGATTATTTGGAGTTTTGTTGTAGAAATGTCCAACTGAATTGGCTAAGATGCGCTGTAAGTTTCTCTCTCGGAACAGAGAGTCGACGTGACGCATGCGTCTTACTTCCTAATATTTTAATGGTTCATTCTGAGTTCGCATATATACGTAACTGTTATAAACGACGACTTTTACTAAAAAACATCGAAAACTCGTGAATATCTGCCCTATTATAGGCACATGGGCGTATAATAGGGTATTTCTTGATGTCGATCAGTGTAATTTGATATCAGTGAAGCACAATGTATAATATTTTGTAAGCGTTACATTGATCCTTAACCATTTCCTTTCCCGGTTATCCTGCAATTGATTTGTACTGAAAATGTGGCTCAGGGATGCTTATAATAGAAGATCCCTAGCGTCATAAAACGATGACATTAGGAAATGTAAGGTCCCGTCCACGACGTATCCGGATTCGTTTGTATCCCGAAACATTTTGTTGCGGAAACGCCTTCCGTCCACACGTATCCGACGAAAACGGACACCGTAACCGCGAACTTTTGAAAACGGTCTCTAGAGTGGAAACTTTGAAAACGGTTCCAGATTGGAAACTTTGAAAACGCTCTCCAGATTGGAAACTTTGAAAACGGTCTCCAGAGTGGAAACTTTGAAAACGCTCTCCAGAGTGAAAACTTTGAAAACGGTCTCCAGATTGGAAACTTTTGAAAACGGTCTCCAGAGTGGAAACTTTGAAAACGCTCTCCAGATTGGAAACTTTTGAAAACGGTCTCCAGAGTGGAAACTTTGAAAACGCTCTCCAGAGTGAAAACTTTGAAAACGCTCTCCAGATTGGAAACTTTGAAAACGGTCTCCAGAGTGGAAACTTTTGAAAACGGTCTCCAGATTGGAAACTTTTGAAAACGCTCTCCAGAGTGGAAACTTTGAAAACGCTCTCCAGATTGGAAACTTTTGAAAAGGCTCTCCAGATTGGAAACTTTTGAAAACGCTCTCCAGATTGGAAACGTTTGAAAACGCTCTCCAGAGTGGAAACTTTGAAAACGCTCTTCAGAGTGGAAACTTTGAAAACGCTCTCCAGATTGGAAACTTTGAAAACACTCTCCAGATTGGAAACTTTGAGTGAAAACGCTCTCCAGATTGGAAACGTTTGAAAACGGTCTCCAGATTAGAAAGTTTTGAAAGCGGTTTCCAGATTGGAAATTTTGAAAACGCAACGAATCCAGATACGTGCGGACGCACTGTAACCGCAACATTTTGAAAACAATGACGTAAATGGGATTCACCCACGCTAATAACATGTAACAGTGTAGATTCCCAGCTGATCTATGCTCTCCTTGCGATTTTATATTCCAAAATTACATTTATCATTGGAAGCTATAAGATTCACCTGTGTGTTCGCGCAAAGCATTTAGATAATTAAGTTGCATGGGATTAGTTTAAGAAATTAAGGAAACATGAAACGTCGTGAGGGCATATGTTTCCCCAGAAATTGCAATATAGGTAGTGCAGAAGCAACCCAAATTTAGCGTTCTAAAAGTTTAATATTCTCTCTTTGCAGTAATAATGATCCGAGAAGACGAATTTTCTCATCGTTTAAACAAGAATGCAAACTTTTGTGGATTTACACCTCTGCATTATGCCAGCCTCATTGACAGTTATGAGGGAGTCAAGCTTCTTTTAGATGGAGGTAGGATGAACATTTAATCTTTTACAGCTTTGCAACCTCGTACCCAGGGCATTTTACCTCGTGGAGGTAACACGCCCTGGGTACGAGGTTGACTGCTTAGCTGTTACACGGTTTTGATTGCCTTATACCCCACGTACATGTATGTATACATACCTCAGCCAGGGGTCGCCGAGAGGTTGCGCGCGACCCCAAGCAAAACTTTCCCAGGGGCCCCTATGATGTCATAATTGTAAAACAGGGAAGCGGTGTTTTACAATATATTGACTTCATTGCATATTATCCGACACTAACGCAGCTGGGAGTTATATTCTCAGTTAAGCATCTTGGATCAAGAACATTTATGGGACTTCGTCGCTTTGGGGCCCCTTTTGAGCTGGAGGCTAAGAACGAAATGCCCTCCCTCCCCCCCCCCCCCGGCGACAGTGACCTTACCTTCTGTTACAATGGCAAGTGAAGGTGGACACTTCGTAAAATATTGCGTGAGAGTGAGAGTCTGACCTTACAGTAGCCCTGCAAGACTGGATTTTGGTATAAATGTCTGCATTGCCAGGAAAGGTGGAGTTCTAAAAAAATTGGGGGAGGCGCAGCGGTATGGGCGCAACTACTGTATTGCTGAAATATTAGGGTTTAGGATGTCCCCGATGTATGTAATATACGTACTATGTGTCAATTTATTTATAAATTACGAGACGTATTTCGCGACTGTATGGCTTATCCAATTTCTCCCCTTGGTACAATATTACAAAGTTTATTTCGAAACATTCAATCGCCCTTCAAAGGCGTTTTTGGTTAAGCCTAGTAACTGTCAAGGTGACCGGTGTAATAGAGTGTCGACATATCTCTACAGTCAATAAAGACCAGTTTGGAGCAAGACCATTTCTCATCGTCAATGGTAATCAACGGTCATTTCATTTACGATCATTCAAATTTAGCCTACTATTACAGTAGCACATGTGCTTCTTTGAAATTTGAAGTGTTGGGATTGCAACATGTCAACAGTCAATGTGGCGTCCTATCCCGGGATAAAACTTGAACGAAAAAGTTTGAAAGATATCTATATATGCACTGGTAAACACAAAACATTGAGCAAAGTGTACTTTGATCAAATTTATCCAGCATTCGCAGAGTATTAATTTGATCACTTTACAGAAATCTATTCCTCAGAAAGTTATACAACCCGGGAAATTTTATATTTTATTTAGGGGCTGATGCAACGATGAAAGACGACAGTGGTCATACCGCAGATGAATATACAGAAAATGAAACCATCAAAAAGTTGATTAAAGCTAATAAAGAAGAGGTAAGATTGGATTCGAGACACACAAGACTTTGGAGTACCCTCACGACAGGCCAACACAACGTTCAACTTTACGTAGAAATTATAATGCGCTCAAAATACAACTTGGAGGTATCTGAGAAAAGCTTTTGTAGGAGTTTAGCAAAATGGCCTGTCTGTTGTATACTGACAATGCCCTATAGTATTGGCAGATGGCATGTATGCTTGTGGAGTATAGGAGTATGTCGTAATGAATATACTCCCTCGTTATGATCGTGGGTGTGCGCAAATCAGGTACCTGATGAGAGTGCAGCCTAGACCTACTCGGCCGGCTTTGGCAGGTTTGGTAAATTTTGGGTTAACACTTGGTAAGTATAACGTCACAAGTGAAATGAAAGGCAGGATGCCTCAGATCGCTAGGTCCCAGTCTTCTCATGTGAAAAAGCGATGAATATTAAAAATAGATGGGCTAGATCTAGGCTGATGAGAGTGTATTAAATTCCACACCGGACAAGCTGAAAATTGCTTGACCGCGGTGGGAATCTCACGATCATTAGACGTAAACTTTTAAAATCTTGAAGCAATGCGCTTAATTGGTTGTTTCAACCTGTGCACAAATACCAATGAAATTTTGCGATAGCATTGTACTTTGTTAATGTATGCCATTTTGTTGGAGTACGACTGCAGTGTCTACTGCAGATATAGATTGATGTATCGTTTAAAACGGTTGTTGGTGAATGTTTAGTTTATAGAAAGAAAACGTAAGCGAGAAGCTGAAGAGAGAAAGAAATATCCTTTAGAAAGGAGGATAAAGGAAGCAATAATTGGTCAAGAGGGCGCTATTACAATCGTGTCATCAGGTGTGTTAAGCATTGTGCCAAAATGACCGTAACTGGGATACATGCATTGGGAACATTTAAAAATGTTTAAAAGCCTACACCTTGTTCAGGATCAAGCCCTTTCTTTAATAGCAATATTATAGAAAGCTGCGGATTGAGAGGGATTCAACTACCTGAAAAAATGAAAAAAAATGAAAAAATGAAAAAAAACATTTCCTGAAAAAATGAAACTACCTGAAAAATGAAACTACCTGAAAAAAATGAAAGTATGAAACTACCTGAAAAAATGAAACTACCTGAAAAAAATGAAAGTATGAAACTACCTGAAAAAATGAAACTACCTGAAAAAATGAAACTACCTGAAAAAATGAAATTCCTGAAAAAAAGAAATTCCTGAAAAAATGAAACTACCTGAAAAAATGAAATTTCCGACGTTTCGAGCGAAGGCCCTTCGTCGGGAAGTTAAGTCACAAACGAAGAGCCTTTGCTCGAAATGTCGCAGTTTTACTTGTATTTTTGAGATGTTGTTACCTACCTATGATATACCCTAGCACAAGGCAGTTCACATATTGTAATGCTATATAATCAGTCACAATTCAGTGGTTGGAATGTTTCATGATTGTCATTTCATTGTTTTGAAAATCCTACTGTTCTCCATACCATCCAGTCACTCGATCTTTTCACATATTTGCGATGTTATGCAAAGGGACCATCTACCACCTCACCACCTTTTGGTAGTCTACATCGATTGTTCATTCTGCCTTGGAACACTGCTGTGCCGTTTGCCATTTGACGTCAACAATATAGTATCCTCCAATGTCTATCAGATTTGGTCGAGCACATATACCGAATACTCCATATATCCTCAGGCCTGACTGAGGCTACGTCCACACCAATCCGTTTTCGAAGAGTTTTCATATTATTCTCTGTTCACAAGGGAATAGAGAACAATTGTGCAATTACCTGAAACAATACGAAAACGGATTAGCGTAGCCTGAATGCCACTTTCCCAAAAAAGAGATGATCTGTACATGAAAACGATTAAGAAAATCGAGGAAGTTGTTTCTCGACGGTTGTTTATTTCTCTTTACTTTTCCTCTTGAATTATTAATGAGTTTTTAATTGTTTATATCAATCTTAGTAGAAGAAATAATCCATTACTCCGTGTTGTCTTCTAAAGATATTGCTAGTTGTTTATATAATTATGTAATATTCTGTTGTACTATATAGCAATCCGAAGACGTGAAAATGGCTGGTATGATGAAGATCATCCACTCGTATTCCTTTTCCTTGGTTCCTCTGGAATAGGTACTGCATATTGGCTTAAATTGTGCTTGACAGGACTTGCTTGATAGGGCGTGCATAATTGTAGTTCAGTCAGCCATGTTTTCCCACCTAACAGCTTTTGTTTTCTGTGTAGGAAAAACTGAACTTGCGAAACAAGTGGCGAAATATCTTCACAAGGACAATAAGGAGGTAGGTGGAGCACTTCATCATGTTACTAGGTAAGTCATCTGCATGTGTAATATTAAGGAACTGAGTATCAAATAATGCTGAAAACTCGCTGTATGTAGGGTTAGAGTCGTTGTAGATTATGTCAGGGCTAGAGTATAACTGTATGAGTATTGTCTAAAGTGCTAACAGAAATTTTAAAACTTTTCCGGAGTTAGTTTCATGGTTGAAGAATTGGGAAATGTTTTAAAAAGGAACATAATTTGTCGTAGCATATATTGGAAACACGTAAAGGCCTGTTTACACTTTCGCGATTTCTATAGGTACGTTTACGTTTCTTCTTCTGATCGATATTAACGAGTGGATGAATTATGAATGTTCAGATGAACATGTACTCAGAATATAACTCGCAAGACAGTCTAAACGGGCTTTAAAATAGCGTATCGTACAAGGCTCGTAAAAATGGACAACCTAGGTGCAGATGTTTTCTTCTCTTTTATCGACTACGCAGTTTCGTTACTTTCATTTTATACTGAACTACATATATCATAAGCTGAAAAATTATTTTATTTATTCGCCTTAGTTGAACAAACAAGTCACACATGCAAAGTGGTCCCTGAAATCATTATATATACATGTTGTTGTAAGAATTACTATAATTTTATTATAATCATGTAAGTTACTATATAGACAAGTTACTTATTGTACCGAGTAGATTACAGACAGCATAGTTATGAACTTGCTGTAGACGTTCATATTTAATTATTTATTGTCACATTTGTCAGTAGTACTATCTACTGGCCACTTTTCTGTATTAGCCAGCCTATGTCGGAACTTAATGTGCCTTACGA